ACATGATGGTAATAAATTTGTCTATTTACAAATAAAAAAACTCTTTTACCACATTCTCACATTACATCACACAAACATGTGTCCTGAGAACGCGCAACGACCGAATGATAACCAGGCTAAATTACTTTCGTATCGTGTATTCGCAAGCCCGCGGTGTCAACGTAAGGGTGAGAATGTGTCCCAGTACTAAGTAGCGATGGTGGCGTTACATCTCTTACTTGTCTCTTAAGCGATATGATCTCTCTGTCCATCGCTTTGAGCATAGCTTCGCCCTGATTGACAAGTCCGGGTTGCGGCGGGTCGCCGGGCTGCGGGCCGGTCGCCATGGCGACGAGATCGTCATGATTGATGTAAATGCCGCGCGGCAAGCGGTGCTTGTATCGCTGTTGCTTGCCGGGGCCGCGCCGTCCCGACGGACCGCATAGCGGCCGCATCGTCCCCGTGCGTCTGCACAGTACCAACCATACAACTTTCTGTTCTCACCTATCTACTACTTTCATACTAATTTAAAAACAAAACGTCTAATTGTTAATGTATTTGACTGTAAATAGTATATTAAAAAAACCTATGTTTTATTGTAATCGGGGATATTTTATAATATTTACACATACTGTTAGGGATTCGATTAAAAACCGTACTTGGAACGTAAGTGTGGGGTTATAAACATGCAAATGATCAAAAAGGGATACTCGAAATGAAATTGTTGATTACGTTACCGACCTGGCGTGCACGAGGCATGCCTGGCACAACTTCTGGGAATTGTGCTGCGTCGTTTGTGTGCACAGAATGCCGCAGACGGTGCACCACTTGCCCGCACCGCCGCCGCCCTCGCCCTAAACCCCAACAACACTTTACTGTCCGACTTTCACAACACAAACCTACACATAGCCCTACAGGACAAACTCACTGTGAATCCTCACACACTTCGTTTAATAACCCATTGACATAAAAATGATATTCTGCACACATTAACAACAATACATAAACTTTTAATTCAAGGGGGCCGTTAAAGGAAGCATGCGGGAACACTGAAGGTGGGGAGAGGGTGGGGATTTACCGTAACATTATTCAAATATATATTATTTTATTATCATATTAAATGTAATAAAATTCACAGTACTATACTTTTAATCTTTTCGAAGAATTACAAATAATCGATGTATACTGATTTTTCACAGTTTTGGTATACATCTGTTCCATGCTTGACCAGTCTAAAAATATAATTTAAACTATGGAAATTAAAAATTACTGCCAACTTGGTTTTCAGCATGAAATAGATGTGTTCTTTTACACATGATAATGATTTATTTGACAACATTTAAACAGCCATAAATGGAACATAGTTATGATTTCACACATAGTTTGTAGATAATAATGCAGAGCAGTCGACATACAATAAAAAGCACAGAAAGCAGTAAAACAAATTGGAACACAACTAATAGATATAAGATTTATTGTAACAAAAAAAGACTTAAATAATACATTAGTAAAATAAAATTTCATACAACGTAATATAGCTTAAACAATAAATTAACTGTGAATTTATTTCGTTATGAATCTTCAGTGAAATTTAAAAATACAATTTGATGTGATTTACGTGTAGTTTAATTTCTTGACAATGTTTAAAAAGAGGTGCACTTTTTTCGCATTGCAGTGAAAAAGACGAATCCATCTAACACTGAACATGATTAGTAGAAAATTACGTGAATTTGAAGACAGATAACATCAATAATTGCCAAGATATCAACATGGGAAGCCTTGACCCACCTCGCCTTGCTGTCCCGTGCGATGCGAAGATCCCGAAGACTTCCCTCCACGAACAATACCTCGGTGGTTATTCCACTTCTGCCATATCCAATATAAGCCCATAACATTTTAAATTCATAAGTACCAGAAATATATATCTAACTTTGACTCAATCCTAGGCCTAAAACTTGAGTGTCTATCACGAATTTTTACGTGACAGTTACGAGACCGAATTCGTAACGTCATCAACTTTGTATTGGATTAGTGCAGCGCCCCTACCGGCCGTAAAGTACACCAACACATCTCGTACAAAATTTTGATGACGTTACAAATACGTTCTCACAAATGTTAAACAAATATTCGTGATAGACCCTGGAGCCTGCAGATTTTATAATTGTGGATCTACCCAACTGTGTATGTTCATTAGCTTTATTAACTATGTATGTAAAAATTATCTACTCTGCATTTATATTTACTCACTATGTGTTTCATTATTGGACAATCCAGATGCTGCAGAATACTGGAGAAAATTTTTTGTCCACAAAATTATGAATAGCATACTAAAAATTGAACAAAATCATTTCATAGATACATATATGGTATTATTCGTAATGTACATACCTTATCATCATTGTCTGAATCCTTATCAGACACACCCGGCTCAGAGCCCGCTCCCGATTCCCTCTTGCCTGTTCCTGAACCAGTAGCATTACGACCTTCACCAACTACATCCATTAATGATGTGCGAGCTCTTGTTTTCTTCCATGAATAATAATATTTTACCAATGATGCAATGGATTTGTCAGGTAACTGTTGAAAATGATAACCATGTAAGTATAATTGTAATATTCGATGTATAAAATCTGAGTAAAAAGGTAATGCACCATTTGCCTTATTCTATGAAAGCTCTTTCCATGGAACTGAAAAGCTTGTTCGAATAGTACTTTATCTTCGACTGTCCATTCATCTGGGAAAGGTGTGAAGTTAGCTAGATCCATAGAGGCACGACTGAGATCATGTTTATGCCAAAACAACATTCCTAATGCCTGTTCACCATTGTAGCCATACTTTTCTTTTGCTGTAGTTATATATTCATCCACTAAAACATAATATAATTGATTAAAATACAATCTAGAACAACTTGATTACGCCTTTATGTGATTTTTACTTACATTTAATGTCAGATATATCAGATGTTGGTGACCAAACCAGCAAAGCTCTGTCGGATATTTGTTCAGGTTTCCTTTGCTCCACAGGCTCCAGCTCCGGGCAAACAGCCTGATAATCACGACCCACTCTTATCTTCTCAGCTGCAAATGGTACTACTGCTTGGTTTCGTATTACATGATTTGATGATGAGTACGCAGCATGTAGGATGATGGAAAGCATAAAAAATAAAGCATGATATGAATTTGCTACTATTGTAATGACCAATGCTTGAGTACAGCAACAAAAATAATATTTATGGACACTAATGAACAATTTTTATGGATAGATGAAGGGACTAACACCACTTTTTACATGCACAAACCCAATAGAAAAATAAATAATCCAAACACCAATTTATATATCTATGACATCATAGTAAAAAGTCTTTTACCGTTCTCTTCCTCTGAGCTTGAATCAGGGCTTCCATTGCCATTAGGGCTCGGCCCTCTCGATCGCTTCCCGTTCCGAACTTCACTGCTCCTTTCAGCCAACACCATGATTAACTAATTTTACACTCAATGCCACTAACACAACACGAATTGCTTACAACTGACTTGTTTACCTATTTTATGTTATGACTAGAAAACAACAAAACGCAAATAAAACTAAATGCGAAGCTTCGCACTTCAATTCAAACGTGATTCAAACCACCGCATCAATAATTTGACAAACCAGCGACAGGGCGTAATGATACATTACAAGGCGTCTGTACCGCAGGCATTCACTTTGACCTACACATAAATTATTTAATTTGGAGCTAGGAAAAGCGGGATCAAGATTTTAATGATGGCTGAAAAGATTGTTGTACTATTCCGTGTTTCTTATGCTATTACAAGAATTAATTTTAAAATTAAAAACTTTTAAAATATTTAAGATGGGGTTTTTTCTTTGGCAACACCATAATACAGGCGTGCGGAAATGATTTGAAACATATTATTTAAAACCTTATTCTATTATCTAAGAATTTTTTAGGAAATATCGTGCAAAACTTATAAATTTAACCTATTTTATACTACATAATTATTATAATATGAACTTTTCCTTGAAAATAATCCGATTTTTAATAATAAATATTTTTTTAGTTTCGTCCCTCCGATGGATAAAAGATGGCGCTATGAGTATATGGCCGGACAACGGGTTATTAAAATCTCTAATTTCATTCTAATAATGATTTAACTTGGAAGGCTATAGTCATGTAAAATATTCTTTATTAACAATATACAATAATTTTCAGGAAAACAGTGAATTCTATATTTAATAATTTATATAAGCTAATATTATTACACTATACATTTTATTGGCATAAAATGATGACGCATTGGCAAGTTGTATAAGTTGCATTTTCAAAACTGGTTGATATGTGTTTCATTAAGGTGTTTATCATTCATTACCTTGAAAATAGAAATGTCTCGTAATCTCATACCATTTATACATTGCATTGCTTATATATATATATATTTTTATATCCATGGAATACAATTTTGGATACTACATTACGGCAATGGATTTATGCTATTGAATTTACTATAAATGTAATTTACGTGATATTGGTAATATAACTCAAAAATAAATCTTTATAGTATTACACTATACATACTACCTACCCCGTTATAAATTAGGAGTACTATGGATCACGAACAAACCATGTATACTGTATACTCTAATTATTGTAATACTATTACAATTAGATAGCGCTAAATATTCTCGTAGTGCTTTATGATTTTTTAATTATGATGTATTAAGGGTGAATGTTAAATTAATCCATATATTAACGTAATTAGGATTTTGTAGAAAAATTAAGTCGCAATACATAAAAAGTGTCTGTGCACCTGTATTTTCCTTTTTTTTATTATTGGCAAGATTCGTTCTGAAAATCTTTAACCACAATTTTTAAATTAAAATTATCAATTTAACTTAGTGTTAAGGAGTTAATTGAAATCATCATAAGGAATACCCTTAAGTTTTAGTTATTTCCATGAGTTTTTAAAAAAGGAAAATTAGACAAAACAAAAGTTTTTGTCGCAACGCAAAAAGCTAGTTTTCGAACGATGTAAACATTTGACGTTTGATAAACCTTTGCGTGAAGTTTTTCAATATTTTTCTCCTAATTGAAGAATGTTATCAAAATAGATAACGATTATGCGGCAAATTATTTATCTCTCATGCAGGCTGTTGTGTTAATTAGTGCTTGATTTTAAATCTGTCATTACTTTAAGTAACCATGCTGCAGTCGTAGTGGAACGCGTTGTGTATTTTTTTTTAATAAAAATTATTTATAATGTTATGAATGTTATGTAACGGGAATTTAGTGATATATATTCGGTGATATTGAATAAGGAAGATGAGGACGGTGGCGTTAATAAGCGGCGGGAAGGATAGTTGTTACAACATGCTCCAATGCGTCGGTGCCGGGCATACAATCGTAGCACTGGCCAACCTCCAACCACAAAATAAAGGTTACTTTCGTCACGTTAACTAATTTAGACATGTCACTAGTGCGTATTAAATTAACGCTGTGTAAACAAAATTTGTTACTGAAAATATTATCAATGAACATAAATAATATAGTTCTCAATTTTCAAATTGCTCATCTCATTATTTACTTAAATACTTTAATATTTAACTAATTTGTGTATATTTTTTTCTTACATAGTAAAGGAAAAATATCATTTTTTTAAATATCAATTACACTTTCATATTGTGTTTAATCTGTATATTATTGACCCAGAAAATAATTGTGATTGAAATTCACTTAAAATACCCGATTTAATTAAAAAAAAATAGTTTTTGTCTTGTTTCAATGTTAACTTCTTCAAACTTTAACTCCAATTTAATTCAGTAAATTTTAAAATAATACTCTGATGTGATCATTTACAGTAGAAATTTTCTTTTGTTAAACAAGAATCCATATAATATTGATAGGATGGTCTCAATGAAGAGCAAAACAACAATCAAATATTTTGAGTTTAGTATGATATATTTGACCATTAACAATATACAGATGTTTTTATCTTGTTCTTTCCTGTTGTTCTCTCCTGTGTTTTTTCTCTTTTTTATCTCTTGTTAATCAAACCTTTAATTTCAGATGAGTTAGACAGTTACATGTATCAAACTGTTGGCCATCAAGGAATTGATCTGTACGCTGAAGCGATGGGATTGCCATTATATCGGGAAGTTATTTCTGGTGTGGCTGTAGACCAAGGCAGGTATTACAATCCTACAGAGAATGATGAAGTCGAAGATCTCTACCGACTCCTTAAAAGAGTTATGGTATGTATATTTTAGTGTTAAAATCATACTTAAAATAATTATAAAGATTCTTTATTGTACACTCAATTATTGCAAAGATATTGCTCAAGGGCAGATCCAACTTTGGTGCCAGGGGGGGGGGGTCACATAGTCGTAGTCAAATCAAGAGTTTGACAAAATATGCAAATATATTTTGTCAAGCTCTTGACCAACTAGCTCAGGGGGCGGGGGGGTGTAATTCCACCATAACCCCCCCTCCCGGATCCGCCGTTGATATTGCTGCTGGCACTGGCTCCTTAGTTAGATCGAGTTAAAGTGTTTATTCATCCTAATTTGCCTTAATTGCCTGAAAGCACATATTAGGATAACTTTCTATACACTATTTTTTTTAAGGCACAAAGCTCTTTTTTTTACAATATAAAATGACACAGTTTAAACAAAACTTCAAAGAGATAATTGCACTTTACTATATAAATTATATGTGCACTGAGTTTCTTATCTTGTTTGACTTATGTAAACTTTCTCTTTGTGATAGTTGTGATGTGTTACAATGACTTTGAGACTGAGTTCAATGTCATTTTGTATGTTAAAGAAGATTAATCACTGTTTGTGTTATTTTTATTATAATATAAGAGATAACAAACAGTTTGTCATTTACAAATGTTTGTTTTGTTTTAGGATGATTTAGATATAGAGGCAGTCTCTTGTGGAGCTATTTTATCTGACTACCAAAGAGTGAGAGTTGAAAATGTGTAAGTAAATCTTAGATTGGATTATCATAAATAGAATAAAAAATGCTAGAATTTTTATAAAATAATACTGTAGTAATATTATGAAAATGATAGACCAAAACTCTAACATATTTTAATTACTCTGACAATCGCTTTTCTTTACTTTTTCAATTTCATTAAATAGATTAAAATAAATTAGTTTGTAAAATCAATAAATCATGAAAATGTTTATTTTTAGATGTCAAAGGCTTGGTTTAGTGTCTCTCGCGTATTTATGGCGGAGGAACCAGAAGGAACTTCTACAGGAAATGATAGCTAGTGGCGTAGAGGCTATTATCATTAAGGTTCAATGACATTTTATCATTATCATTGCTCTTGTTAACAATGTTACGTGTTACATGGTATTGCAGTTTAGTATGATAGTGAACTTGTAAAGGTTATGGTTGATGCGCCACATTTTATTTATATGGTGGCAATTTTTAGCTGAAATAGAGCAGTGATTGCTTCCCATAGACATTTATAATTGTAGATTACCTATATTTATCAATATAAAGGAGCACAGAGAGGATATTTCCCATCCTTATGTACATATACTATCAAATTCACTTCCCGTTTGAATTTTTTCTTTATAAGGAAAGGGTGAGAAGTGAAAGTGACCTCAAATTAGGTCTTTCCAAACACTCAACAAACCAAATGTAGAATTGCTTCCACTTCAAGGCTTTATCAAATATTTTTATTTACGGTTATATATATTTTGATACAGGTGGCAGCGTTAGGTTTGGATCCTAAGGTACATCTTGGTATGACCTTGAGCGATATTCAGCCACATCTTCTAGTCATGCAGGAGAAGTATGGTCTGAATGTGTGTGGTGAGGGTGGGGAATATGAAACCTTTACGTTGGACTGCCCGTTGTTCAGGAAACGATTGGTTATGTAAGTATTAGAATGTGAAAATGTTTTGAAGAATTTATTTTTATATGCATTTTAAGATGTTACAATTTGTTGTTATAAAGGTCATTGTTGATAATGTGTGCAGTTAAAAAATAACAATTTGTTAATTGCTTCATATTTGATTTAATATATCAGTGATAAGAAAAGGAACAAGATTTGTGACACTATCAATTGCATGTTTGTTGTTTTTTTAATGCAATTATTATCATTAAGATAATATTGACCTGAAGGCTTCAGATAAAATATACTACAAATATAGTAAATTATATAGAATTTTGCTATTTCTTTTTCATTTTAATATGTTGATCCAATCAAGATTTATCTTCCCTTTAACAGAGATGAAAAAGAGTTAGTAATACATTCAGAGGATCCCGTTGCGTCCGTTGGTTATTTAAATTTGAAGTTACATCTAGAGACTAAAGAGAATTCCGGCGAACCGTACCAACTACCTCCAACTATTAAAAACTCATTAGATTTTGTAAACGATTTAAATGATACGGTATTTAGTGATATAAGTGATATAGAACTCAGCGAATCGGAGTTAGAATCTATTGAGAAAATGGAGAAAGGGGGAGAAGAAGAATTAAATCAGTTGCTCAGTTATTCAAGAGAAGGGAAAGATATATCTGCGACTCTAGATGCGGCAGATGACTCTCAGATAGATAGTATGGAGAGTATAGAAGTTGGATATAATTATGACTATTTATGTGATGAGAGTTTGACACATCCAGTTATAGACCATAGAAGTATTTATGGTAACAATCACGGATGGTATTTTATCGGTGGCATAGTCGGCGAGGGTCATGATACGGCGCTCGCTACGGAGGACGCGATGAAGAAACTCATTAGTAGGTAAACTTTTTCGAGTGTTTTTTTATTAACTAAAGTTTTTTTTTTATAGTGAAATAAGCTAGCTACTAGAATTCGCCAAAAATACTGAAGTGACAGTTGGCTATAGATATTTGCTGACTGGATCATACATATCCACCTACCCTTAGAAGAGATGGATGGGAAGGGGATAAGGTTACTATTAGGCCTTTGGGTCGCACAAATTAAACAAAATTAACATCCAGTAAATAAATCTTGCGTAAACAATTTAAAGTCCCCGTTTATTCTAGTATAAAGATGGTTAAAATATTTCGAAATGAAATCCGTAAGATTATCGATAGATCGTGTTTCGATAAGCCAGTTATAATGTTTCGTGTCGATTAAACATAGTGGTCTATTCTAATCTTCAGTAGCAGATATATTGTATTATCGTATCATTTATTACTGTACAAGCGCCCACACATTCGTCACGTAAAAACAACGTGTGGTTTCATATCCATCATTGCATATGGGTTTGGTTATGAATAGTAAATGATATCCTTTATTATACATGATAAAGATACTTATTGGTAAATTAGAAAAAGCTTCGTAATGATGGACTAAAACATTTTTTTCTCATATATTGATTCTTTTGAAATTGATTGAATGTGGATGGCTACAAAGGAAGAGGAAGACCGAAGAAAGTATGGATGGATTGTGTGAAGGAAGATATGCTTAAGAAAGGAGTGGATTCAGATATGACGGCTGATAGAGATGTATGGAAGAGCAGCACATACTGAGCCGACCCTCCATAAGGGATAAGGGCAAGTGGATGATGATATTGATTCTTTTGAAATGTAATCTTGCAGGAGTTAAAATACATAAATCTCCAATAAGTAATTATTATCATCAAATTAACGGCTTCTACATACAATTTAGTAATTGAAAAATACGTGATTTTCAGTTTAATTTTTGCATTACTTTCATAACCCTGAATTGATTAGGTTTAGTCTAATTAATCTTTCGTATATGAAAATGTGATAAGTTTTCTTTTTAAAAGCGCCATCTTCTTTCGGAAGTTGGACGATCATTAGAGCAACTACAATTTCCTCAAAGTCCGTAGTTTCTCTGTAGTTCCTTTGGTGTTGCGGATGTCTATGGGCGTCTTTGATCACCTAGGTGTTCCCGCCGCTCGTTTGCCTCCTTTTCTTATCTGATAAAAATACATAGAATTACTGGAGTCTGAAGATCTGCAGTTGTCCGCGGTGAGTTCAGTGAACATCTACATGCGGGACATGGCGGAGTACGCGGCGCTGAACGCGGTGTACGTGGCCACGTTCCGGCTGCCCAACCCGCCCACACGCGTCTGCATACAGTGCCCGTTGCCTGACGATGTAGGACTTATAATGGATGCGGTGAGTATATGCGATTGTCCAAGATATCCTCCTTTTAGGTTTAGTTAGAAAAACAATATTTCCATTATGTGCGCTAGTCGTGAAGTTGCGGAAACTGTAGCCCCCCTACTACTAATGTGGTCTTTCAGAGTGTGTCTTACATCTATGTCAAATTTGATTCGTTAAGCATTTCTGCAGATATCTTCTAATAACATCTATCCATTAAAATATTCGCATTTTCTTAGAAATAAATAAAATCTACATCTTTGTAGACAGTAATAACCGAGTGTTATCGAATTATTGTTTAATTTAAGTAAGCACCAGTGTTATGAAAAGATACAAATAGTAAACGAAAGTCTGATGGAACTGCTAAGTAAATTTAATTGTTTAACTTCATGATTTGTCTGACGACGGTGGTCCAGACCGACCGTGACACAATAGTTAGCGCCTTAGAATGTTTATGTAAATGTCATTTAAGACTTAATAACCTTGTAAGTGTATAATAAAAACTACGATTAAATCCTTTTTGGTGACAATAAAAAATATAAGCCATATTTAAAGTATACATATCCAAAACGTATGTATTGTAGATGAACAAAGTGTGCCAAGATCGTGAAAAAGATTAATAATTTCTGTACAGTTTTATCCACATTTTTGTACGATTATCATTTTTGTTACTATGAGTACCTTATCTTTTTAAATAATCGTATTATACAACCGCTAACTGCTTTGATTGTTGTAAGATTACAATATTACAAAGCAAAAGTAAACTTCTCATCTTTTTATGGGATTTCAAAGAACATATTAAAAAAAAAAACCATATCCATTTATAACACATATCTTGAAAAATCGCGAAAAAAAAGCGGGGAAGTAAAGAACGCGGGGGTGGGAAGAAGAAAGCATGTAAAAAGGATTTAACCTCACACATACAATAAGTTGCTCTTGTTTTTAATGCACACCGGTAATCTATGAGGTCCTAGTACTTCACGATAAGAAACTTTCTATAGAATCATTCTAATTTACTGAAGACCATTAAAATAGTAGTGTTTAATATGTAGGTAGCGCATAAGGAGGACGTGAACCGGAGCCCGGAGGCGGAGGGCGCGTGCAAGGAGCGCGTCACCATGCACGTGCAGGGCATCTCGCACTGGGCGCCCGCTAACATCGGCCCCTACAGCCAGGCTGTTAAGGTAAACACTACACACCACATCTAGAAGTTAGCAATTTATCTTTGATTTATGTAAGTAAAAACTAATTCTTCATAGCCTCTACTTTTTAGTTTTTAATCCAGGGATCAAATTTAACACATCTAAAGAAAGCAACAGCAAACGAATAATATGTATTATTATTTTGTTTGTATACATGCTGTTGTTTCGTTGTTATAGAAATTTGAACTACTTTTACTACTATTGTAGGGCGATACGATTATCTGAATAGATGGGTATAAGTCTAAATAAATTATAACTTGTTATTGCTGTCCAAAGGTGTTACAAGATACTCTTTGCACTGTAGCTATCCTGTTATGGTTGTTTTAATGTCCTATACTGAACCCGTTTTACATGTTTTCTATACAATAATGTCTAGTAAATTAGTATTTAAAATACTCTCTAATCTACTCAACTTTACTCGGGACTCGGCTAAATTGCCATTAATTATAAAGGATGGTCCGGATATATTTGACTATAGAGTATAGAGTATGAAGCGGTGTGGTGGTGTCAGGTGGGCGAGGTGGTGAGCACCAGCGGGCAGATCGCGCTGGTGCCGGGCTCCATGCGGCTGGCGGGCAGCGGCGCGCGCGGCCAGTGCGCGCTCGCGCTGCGTCACATCGCGCGCGTGCTGCGCGCCGCGCACCCCCGCGCGCACATACGCAGCGTCGTGCAGGTTACACTCAACTACGTGTCTTTTGATGATTTTTTATATACGAGAAGGGGGTAAACAAACAGGAAACACAGAGATGGTAAATGACGCTCATGGACATCCGCAATACCAGAGAACTGATGCATTGCCGGCCTTTATGTTAAAAAATGGAAAGGGTCACAACCTCACAACGGTTTTGGAGGCAACGAAACCGTATTCAACTAGTCGAAAATAATAATATACATTCATATATGGGTACACTGGTAAAGGTAGATTTAGAAAAAAGAAGGATAGATTGCATGAAAGGTGACATTATCAAGAAGGAAGTGATGATTGACGAATGATAGAGTTATGAGGAGGATAAAAACTTATTGCGCAGACCTTACGGGAGTACAATGAAGAGGAGGATGATGATGATGACATTCAAAAAAGAAATATCTAAAGATTGGTTCAAAAGAGATATCTATGTAATTTAACGATAACTTTAACTGGTTTGTAGAATGTTTGATGTTGTGTGTTGTGCGCAGAGCGTGTGCTACGTGACGCAGATGTCGGCGGCGCGCGAGGCGCGGCGGCAGCTGGAGCGGCGCACGGCGGGCGCCATCGTGCAGTGCGCCGTGGTGCCCGCGCTGCCCCGCGGCGCCGCCGTCGAGTGGCACGCCTGGGCGCACACCGACAACAACCGCTTCGACTGTACGTATGCACGCACGCACGCACGCACTGCGTACACACTCACTGCATACATACTAAAAGCGTATAGACGCACTACGTACATAATTACTGCGTACACATGCACTACGTACATTCTTACTGCGTACACATGCACTACGTACATACTCACTGCGTACACACTCACTGCGTACCCACGCACTACGTACACATGCATAACGTACACACTCACTACGTACACACGCACTATGTACACACTCACTGCGTACACACAAACTACGCACACGCTCATTTGTTACACGGATTACGTACACGCGACGCACGCACTGCGTATATACCTTGTACGCATTCAATGCGTACATGCTAGGCACGCACTGTACTTAAACACAACCATATAAGCTAATAAGCCTATAGCCGCTACTAAGTCATTAATAACTAATACAGTGCCTTAGTGAAAATTAGGTATCTACACTATTATATATAACTATTAGAGTGCAACCGTCAACAGTAAAAAAAAAATTAATTGCTATTATACCTAGGTTCATACTAGATAAATGTTTTATGTTTAGTTCATACATTTGTGTGACATCAGGCGCTGTTAGAATCCAAACCACATATACCAGTTTATGCACAACTTTCACTTGACGCGCCCACACCGGTGAAAGTGAATACCTTAAGTTAAATCATTCGCAAGAGAATATTTGATTTAAATTCTCTATATCTGAGTTTGTAAATGTTTCTGTCTAAACTAAAATTTGTTGATAAATTGAAATTCTAGGCACTATGATTCGCAAAACGATAATACATTTATGTAATGTTTCGTCACACAAAGAACAAACACAATAAAACAAGTTTTAAAAAACAAAGAAAACAACGAAAACAACTATAGTGCGTTGGCATTATTATAATCTTAACACGAAATGTTTAAATGTTAAATTGTGATACACTAGCTTACGCCAGCGACTCTATCCGCGTGGTATTTAGAACAAAAGTAACTAGCTAATGTGTTCTTCCAGACTATGCTCTTATATCTATGCCAAATTTAAAAGATTTATTTATAAAGTTACAAAATTTCTTTTAATACAATTGTGGTCGATCGCCTGGTCTGGATCTGCAAATGTCATTGATATGTGTTCAGCAGTTTAGGTTACAAACTGTAACAAACATCCATATAAACTTTCGCATTTATAATATTAGTAATAATGGTGTTTCGAAATTTTTATATGTGTTACCATTATAAAATATGAATATAAATGTTTTAAAAGTGTGTCAAAATTTTAATATTCAAAGAAATGTTTGTCTCGCATTTAGTTATCTTCAAGGTCGTTATTATTAATAGTATTGACATTTATTTGGCTCTAAACAAAACGGCTGCGTCTCGCCGTCTTCATTATTCACATTAATATTCTAAACAATGAACACTAATGTTTAATGAGGAAAATCTATCAAATGTAGACAAGTTAATGTATGACAAACTGTTTTACTGTTTTACGTCGTATGAAATATCACAGTTATTCATAGTTTTAAAATACAATTTCACTATATTATCTGCATAACATGCATACAAGTATTGCCTGTATATATATAAAAAAAAGAACATGGGCTTCGCCAGTCGATGCTTTAGCATATGTCTTGGGGGGGGGGGGGTAGCTACCATAAAAATTGTCTTGTTTTTAGTAGTTTTCACATGTTTTATATCTTTACCCCCTTGTGATGTTAATGGTACACATACATACAAAAGTTTGAACGTACTAGAGGAGAGCGGAAGAGCTCACGTAATTTTGTTAAGTATAAAAAAATAGTTATGATAAAAGTATGAACCAAACGTTGTTTACTTACTTTTAATGACGAGAGCAGTCAATCTTACTATTTCATAAATGCGTAAGTTTTATATGGATTTTTTTTAGAGTTTGTGGAGTTTTATTTGGCATAGATAGAGTCGGAAAGAACACATGACTAAGTTTTATTAAATTCCACGCAGACAAATTCGCGGGCGAAATCAAGTTATTAATAAAAAAGTTATCATAATATTTCTTTTACGCAGACGAGGAGACAGGCTGCAACGTGGGCGAGTACAAGGTGGCGATAACGCGCCGCTGGAACTACGAGAACACGGTCGCCGCCTGCGTCTGCTATGTCGCTACTAGTATGCTTTTTTTTTAAATTGACAGGCTTTTAATTTGACAGTGGTAGAGCTAGTTTTAACAACATCGCAAGAATGGGTCGGTTCACCGCAATACCACGACCACACAAGACAGGCGTCAAGTGAAAGCAATTCTGCGTACAGTCTGATGAGTATGGTCCATTTTCCGTTCTACGCATTTATTATAAGGAAACGATTGGATCGGAATAGGGATTTGAAGGTAGAGATGCATAGGAAGGGTAAATATCTCCTTTATGTGTGTCTCCGGCGATTTAGGGTATACAACGCATCTGCAATTGCGGATGTATATGGGCAGCTAGGTGACCTCTTGCTCGTTTGTTTATCTATACTATTATAATAAAGAATAAACACACACTTCTTTGTTGCCTAAGATGTCAGCAATTACAGCATATTTTCCAAAAACTGTTTTTGTAATAGAAAGCCCTACACTTACGTCACGCTTTAGGCTATATATTTTCACGTCGTTAAACTTAGGGGTAAATATTTTGGATAAAAACTCTAAAGTGGGAAAGAGATCATAAGTTGTTGCCAACATCAAGGAACTAAGGTTGCCATGGTTGACGTCATGTCATTTTGATATTTGTAATTGATAGACAAATGTGAACAATATTTTTTTTTATAATTTTATGCGCAGGAAGCATGGAAACAGGTAGTTTTATATAAGAAAAAAAGTTTTTATCCCTAAACGATGTAAGGAAAGCCGGGTGGTATGAAGGTATAACTTGACTCCCGCAGGCTCGTCTCCGTCGACGTGTGCGGCGTCGTTCCCGAGCGCGGCGGCGTGCGCGGCGCACCGCTCGCTGGCCGCGCGCATGTCGGCGGCGCAGCTGGCCGACGTGCTGGAGTACGCGCTGCGCAAGCTCCTCAACGACTGCCACCCCCGCCAGCCGCAGCCGCTGCCCCTCCTCAAGCTCACCGTGCTCTACCAGGTCGACTGAACACCTCGCAGCTACCTCTAGCTCACCGGAATGGCGAATTAACCGTGCATAAGCAGAAATACACTTGCATTTTCTACCTTTAATAAATGGAGATGCACATAAAGAAGTATATCCCCGTCCTGTGCGTCTCCTTCGCCGTCAAATTCATTTTCCCTTTCCATCCATTTTTTAAAAAGAACAGTGGAAAGGGAAAGGGAGTAAAATTAGGCTTCCGGCATCACATTCAGACTATGAGAAATTGTCACTCACATTATCTTCACGCATGTCTTCTGGATGGCCATGGTATTGCGGTGGACGTGCCGGCCTTGCTAATGTAAAATAGGCTGTTTTTTTATTATTCTATAACTAAGCTTTCGCCCGCGTCTTCATCCGCATGGAATTGAAAAAAACGAAAGCCTATGTGTTCTTTCAGACTATCATTTACATCTATATCAAATTTCATCGAAATCCATTCAGCCGTTTAGGCTACAAACTCTAACAAACATTCATCCATCTAAACTGTCACATTTATTATAATAGCACTAGCTGTTCCCGTGCGTCTTCATCCGCATGAAATTATAAAAAAAAATATTTTATTGTTACATTTGTCAAAGTATTAATAGCAAATGTCAAAATGACATGACATGATGACAACTTTGCTTTCTTGATGTTGGCAACAACTTATGGTCTCCTTCCCACATTAGGGTTTTTATCCAAAAATTTAACCCCCCAGTTTAATGACGTTAAAATAAATAGCCTAAAGCGTGATGCAAGTGTACTGTTTTTTATAAAAAAAGAAGTATTCAAAAATATGGTAATTGCTGACATCTTAGGCAACAAAGAAGCGTGTGTTTACGCTTTATTATAATAGTATAGGTGATAATTTGATGCGTGCGAAGTGGCGAAGTGGCGAAGTGGCGAAGTGGCGAAGTGGCGAGCAGTAGTGATGTGCAGGTGTGGAGCGCGCCGGCGCCGAGCGCGGTGGTGCGCGGCGCGCGGGCGGCGGCGGCGCGCGCGGGCGCCCGCGTGGCGCTGACGGTGGCGCCGGTGGCGGCGCTGCACAACGCCTTCACCTTCCTCTCCATCAGCGGACTGCGCATCGACGAGTGACGTACGTACTACTAACTCCTCTCCTTTTGAGGGAATATCCTCAGACGATCTGATGATGGATGAGATCGTACCACAGAACACGGGTCCGATTTATTATTCGATCGTCCGATTTATCGTTAGCGACGGGGTGAACTTTATTAGGCTACGTGAGTGCACATCGTTGGCGTCGGCGAAGATAGACTGGAGTGGGGCGACAGTGAACATATTCATGTCCATGTCGTCATACTCGTTAGAGAACTTGTCAAAAATGAATAGACAATGTAACTTGTAGGAAGTCAAAGTGCATGCGGTCAGAACGTATGACAAAGTAACATTCGATTATCATCATCGCTGGTCGAAAAGTCAAAAATGTATGAAACTGACATTTTATACGTCACGTGCTTGTCACCTGAACGTTTTGACACATTTTGTCGATTCTACTAGCTATAGCGCTAATCGAAAATCACTTTGTCTAGGGGACCAATTGTACTTAATAGGCAAAATAAAATAACTTTCGATGTAGCTAGTAAAATCGATGAATTATGTCAAAATGTGTTGTATAGGAATAAATGTTTTTGGTTCGACATCTTTGAGATGCGCTTCCGAACTGCGTAACTTGAGTTTTACTCCGTTGAAGTATAGGTCAACTTAACATTAATAAATAATTATGTAATAATAAAATATATGGAAACTCCAGAAACCCAGATTCATGGAATGTTTTTGTCGAGAATTTTTGACTTTTCGATTAGTGGCGATTACCGAGTATTACTTTGTCTAGGTTAATTCGAATCGTTCACAACTTCATGTCATATTTGTTTTCTTTTAATTTAATACATCTTCGAGGTCAAAGGCCTGGCTTCGTGTGAGAAAGCAATTTCGGAAAGCGATTGAGAAGTAATAGTAATTTGTTAGGAGTGTGGATAGTTATACTGTAAAAATAAATAAAATTTTCATTCTTCACAGTATTTCTTTTAAAATACAGATAACTAATTAATGTTTTTTGTTCTCCAGGTACCCCAAAAGATGTAACAACGCTTTACGCCAGTTTTTAAAGTATATGTGCTGAATATTTTCAGTGTTTATGAAATTTTGTTAATTATGCTACCAAGTTTACCGTATTTAAGTCAAATTATATAAATTATTTTTATTGCATAATCGACTTTCATTTCCTATATAACATAAACCCGAATTAAAAATGAACAAAGAAAGAAAAAAAACAAAAAATAAATTAAATTTACTTTATTTTTTTTTACAAAATTGACCGAACAGTGCGAGATTTCTAGAACGTTTACACTTGCATTAAGTAGACATAAAGTTATCATTATATATCTTACACGTAAGTCTTAATTCACCTGTCGCAAGCAACGCGAATCATTTGTGAGACACACAATTAAATTCATCATTATATAAAAAAATTAAACATGATTTGAATTTCTCTAACAGCGGGGACATTTTACCTTAGAAATTGTCACTAAGTAAATTATTTACGATTAATATTAACGAAAGCAAATATAAAAACTAAACAATGATATAAGTATGTATTAGTTGATTTCACCGATCCTGCGTTTCAAATCTAATACAATATACAACGCATACTAACTGAACAATAGCGCAGTTGACGTCACTACCATATAGCATCAGAACTATAACCGCTTACAAACAAAGAATCATGTATTTATTTGTTAACTCAAGAATCACGTGAGAAAACAATTGCTTTCATACTAAGATATTTCGTATATTGATTCTTGTGTCTGATTAACGGCTGAAATAGTTCTATGCTTTTGTGCATCGAATTATTGTTCAAGTTTAGCTCCTGCCGTGAAAAAGTATTAGCGCCCAATTTATATTTTAATTTTATCTTATATCCATAGATATATAACCTATAGATTAGGCAATTTAAAGTCTAATCGAGATTTTCGATATAAAATATAATGCTGTAACAATTTACTCTAACAAAAGATCTCCGGAGACGTTATTGTGCTCTGGTTTTGGTCTGCATTGGTTATATACCTATGGTTATCATTTACAATAAATAATTTCTTAATAATGAAAATAAACATATACCTCTGAGTTAAATAATTTATTTGATTCTCTATAGTAATTCTATATTTATTGGGCTTATATAATTTTCCAGGATAAATGAATAAATTATATAATATAAGTTTTAGCGTATGTGTTTTGTACTTCGAGAATAAAACGAAACGCTAGTCTTTAGAGCAAGTCTTGGCTTTTAGTATAATACGAGTATATATGATTAAGTTATGGTAAACTATATTGTGTCAAGTTCCCGTGAAATTACATTGATGTATCGAAACATGTTTCTTTAAAGAAAAGAATAAGAATGTTTTGATACAATTGTTTTCATCAGTGGAAGACCACGGTTACGCAAATAATTGTTACGATTAGTTCTGACCAAAGATTGCGTTTCGCCTTAAATAAACATTTTGAGGAAAAGCTGCTGAAATTCGTTTGAACCAAGTTAAAATAAACTCCAAAGTATTCTTATAATTATAGTTTTAATTATTTAAACAATATCTTAATAAAACTTCGAATTGAAAGATATTGTGATGAAGTTGTTTCATTAGAAAAATTGTATAGACATCACAGTATGTTTTATAATCAAAAAATTAAATGGTGAATTTCAACATATCCTCTTATAATCCGTTATGTATGTATAATATAGGGGCATATTGTATACAGTTGTATCCATATAAACGTATAACTAAAATAAATACCTTATTAAGGAAAAAAATTAACAATAGTCTAAAATTAATCTATTCTCAAAAAAAAAAATGCGCTCTGTCTTCTTTTGAACATTTTTCAAATGATAACCAATTTTAAAACAAAATGATTGCATCACAAATGCATTAAAAGGCAGATTCATTTATAATATACAATTTATTTTCCAATTTTTGAGAAATCATGTGCAAATAGAACATAGGTCAGACATTACACAATATAAAACCATTCACAAAACGTATATAAACAACATGTCGATGACAAAACGATAATACATCCATTTAACGAAACATCATACGATTCAATCTCTTATATTTGACTCTCCTTAACATAAATAATTCACAAGGGATGCAAACATGATTTTTGCAGCAAACATAAAAAAACTATTAATAATAAAAAATAGTATGATTGCCCAGCTACCCACATAGTGAAGTTAGTATTAAGTTACTGTACATTTTACGTGTTAGTGACCTGCGAACTACGGCTACCTGACCGACCGCGGCCTCCGTCTGCACTCCGACAACTTACATATACATAGCCTACTAATTAAACGTATATTAATCAGATTTATGCAACAGTTTACCTTACAACCGTATTACCGAAGCGGATAAGAGTTATGTATAGACTAATAACAGCTAGATATATTACATTGTCAATATACAGTCACTCGCAGTGTCCGATGCACGAATGAAAATTAAGCCACGACGCACACTGGGCGGTCCGCCCTCACCACCTTGCACTATAGATAACACCGTAACACTACGTTCACTCCGCGCCGTCGGGCCGGTGGTCGGCGACGTCGAGCGGGTCGTTCACCTCCTCGGCCGCGTCGGAGACGTCGGACGCGTCGTCGGGACGCTCGGGGCGGTCGCAAGACTCTATCGTGTCGTCCGCGACGTCCGAGTTCTCAGAGACTTTGGAGGTCTGCCCGCGACTCTTCATGTACTGGCGGTGCGCGTATTTGTTGAAGCGACGCTTCGCCATGAACAGCGTGGCGATGGTGCGAGGCGCGAGGCGCACGGCGGCCGCGCGGGACGTGATGCCGCCGCGCCGGCAGTCCCCGCACGTGTAGTCCATCACCTTCAACTTGCTCACAGTCTGCTTAACGCAGTCTACGGAAAAAATTAAACACATTTACGTACAGTTTTCATTTATTCAATGACCTTGAACTCGGTTGTACTTGTTTCAGTGCAAAGTTTAGTGTGCAGTCTTAAACCGAGTTCAAAATCAGATATTGGCTAGAGATGCGTCTATAGCACACACAACTCGGCAGTTCTATTCGACTATTTGCGAAAGTTTTCTCCCGCGAATCTTACTATTTGCGTTCCGTAGTCAGCTATGTTCTAATCGAGGCAGATTATATGTATAGTGTATATATATCATGCGTTCACCCATACGTTTTGTCTAACAAATCTAACACAAAAATGAAGCATCATTATGATTTATATATTTAATATCTTCAACTGTAGCTTTATACATTAACCTTGTTTTAATTTAGTTTGTGGATATCTTTTTTCAGGTGGTGAATTTGTAATGGAAGTTAGCGTATAAAAAAGCACAAATTAATGTATTGTTACTCATTCCATAACATTCTAATGAACATCGGTATGCATGCACATGGATGTAAAGCAAATGAAAGCAAAAGCGTTAATATAGAGATATATTTCTTGCAATACTAATATAACTATTAAAGAAATATATCTTTATAATGTGAAATAATTAGATATGTATGACTAGTTATAAAAGGACACGTGAAGTTATCGGGCGATCTCTGAAATGTATCTTAGAAGGCTGTATAATGTTTTCATGCGATACCTCTTCAATGAAAGATTTTTTGCACCTTTTTTATTGAAAAAGTATTTTACGTAATAAAAATCAAATTTAAACTGTAACTTTGAGCATATAATTGACAATTTTAATGTTTAACAGTAATAGATTTTTCTATGGCGCAAATAATAGTGTGCTCTTACTAGCACAAATGAATATCACAAGTGTTGATTTAAAAAATTTAGTTGAAATCCTAATTTTGTTTAACGGGTTTTAGTTATACGTTTAAAGAAAATTGCTGTTTTTTTCGAAAAATCATTTTTTAAGGACAATTAAAATAGATTCAAGGTCATTTTACAACCAGCCAATAGCGTAGTGGGGCGGAGTCGGGGCGGGGCGAGCAAGGCTAGGAGCGTCTACTGCGTGCCGTTGACGTACCTTGATGCAGTTGCCTATCGCAGAGTTTACATATGACGAGCTGCATAGTCCCCTTAGGCCCGATGAAGGAGCGCTCGCACAGCGGGCAGTAGCGACCGATGCGATACGCCCTACGCACGCACACACACACACGGACCGCACGCGACAACCACCGGAACAGAAACACGACATTAGTGTCCACTGACAACAGCCGCCGGCCGCCAGCCGCGTACCGCAGCACACGTCACACGCTGCTTTTATTACTTCCCTTCTACCTCGCTTTTAAAATAAATATACCACGAAATATCCGTAATTTACAATCTTACTAATATTATAAACGCGAATAATAGAAGGTATCTCCAAAACGAATTACCAAATCTCGATTAAATTTGACATAGATGTAGAACATAGTTTGAAAGAACACAACCTACTCGGTGTTTTATTTCCGTGTTAATAAAAATCGTCGCGGTCTATTCGATGTCGATTGTGATAATGTACTAGGATTGAAATAGGAACCGAACTGAATTAGAAAATAAAACCTTACATTTTTACAACATTAACCATTTTTTCTTTACTACTTTTAGATACCTACGACAAATAACCTATCAGATTCATGAGATGTGAAACATATAAGTGCAAATGGGCATCATCAATGGGGCGGGGTAGTGACCGCCCTTAAGACGTAGCCTAAATCATAGACTTTCGACGCCTGCGCGAAAACGCGAAGTAGAATATATATTTTTGTATTTTGAAGCTATTTTATATTTATTACTTATATTAACGCACCAGTATAGGTAATTTTGGTAAAACTCATGCTTTTGTTGGTACACATATGTTTGTTTTTTGTACTTCTGTGTTTTGAATGGTTTTAAAATTACCATATAGTTCCGCTAAAATTTTATATGTAATGATTTAATTCGTAAAATACGCGTTGAGTCAGAAGGGAAGTAATAAAAATAGTCCAGTTAGTGAATGCGGTGAATTCGATGTAATTCTATGCCCGTGTTAGTTTTGTTTGAACAAATGATAGATGTTAGTGGGACACGAGGGAGCGATCCAGTCATCACCTAACAGCGATCGAAGGAACAAAAAGCTTAAACAAACCAATTAATTCTTTATAACACCTGAATGTTTTTAAAATCTAATGAATTCATTATCAATAGTAAAAATAGTAAAACAGAGAGTAACCATAACAATAAAACTGGCCACTACTGTTTCGCAAAAGAAAACTATCTGCCAAAGTTAAAAAAAAACACTAAAAAATTAAAAACAAAGGCAGTCAGTCTTCTAAACATTTGAAGGGGTGTAGCATGCAACATTACATAGCCTAATTCTTCTAAATAACAACATTGAAAGTAAATTTTGACATCAATCTAACCAATTAGTTGTTGGCCCGTACTTAGTAGAATTAGGCAGCCAACATTTGTGCGTAAGAATGCTGCGGGTCAGAGATGAGGGTCAAGGCTACGTAAGCATGGTCAGTGAGGTAGTTAGTACAACACGCACAGACAGGATAGTACAGTACAGTACAGTACAATATAGTACAGTACAGTACAGTACAAAGTACATCTACCAACGTTACAGCAACAAATAGTTCTGATAGGTCCACAATACGTCTTCTACTGCGCCCCCATTATCAGCCTGAATATATTGAATATTCTTAATCATTTTGTTTATAATTTTACTAATAACTATAAATAGTTATGCCTCACAATTTTCTTAATAATAAGTAAAAATATATCATGATGGGTTTTCCTTTTGTAATATTCCGGCAGCTAGTAAACTAGTCGTTTAGGAAAATTACGCCTAAATATTGAAATGATATTTTAATATCTTACAGCATCTTAGAACTTCAAATAAAATGTTTAAATGTTATTGCTTACATTTTGTAAGAAGTATTTATGAAGCCAAACGTTTCTAGTTCGTTTCAGTATTCGGACGCAATTATTTACGTATTTAAAACATGTAAATAATATCACAATTACAATAAATTTTGTAGTTTAATTTTACTGAATTACAAAAAGATTGTCACGAGTTTTATAATTAACTTCATGCCGAATAGTTCATAAAATTATGTTATAGTTTACTTGTTTTAAATGATTTCAAGAGTGTCAACTGAACTTATGAGTATTTGTGGTGTTCTCTGCTGGTCACATGTGGTGATCGTGGTGGTCGTGTGATGATAGTGGTGGTTGTGTAGTGATCGTGGTGGTTGTGTGTTGAGCGTGGTGGTTGTGGTTGTGGTGTACTGACCTGGCGCAGGGCGTGCAGAGCGAGTGCGAGTAGAGCTTGTGTCCGCCGGGGCCGCGGCGCGTCTGGTGGTGCCACTCGGGGGGCGCGCCGCCGCACGCCGCCTCGCCCCCGCCCCCGCCGCCGCCGCCCCCGCCCCCGCCCGGCTCGCGCGCCCCGCACGACTTGCACACCGCGCACTCCGCGCAGTGCCAGCGACCTGTAAACATCTTTGCTATTAAATACAAGCCAATAATCATTAACATAAGATTTAGTTTGCCTACCCTGGAATCGGAGTACAAAATTAATAATTCTCAGGTAACATAAATTTTAAACCATAAATGGTAGATAGATTTGTTAAAAAGTATCACCGAAGCAATATTTTATAGCCTAGTTTATTCTTGTATGAAATTAATAGAATATGAGTACAAATTATGAACAATGGTGATTGTGCTCAACGTATAAAATAACAGACACTGTACATACATATCTATACTATGTTATAAAGAGAAAAGATTTGTATTTTTGTTTGTATTGAAATAAATCAAAAACTACCGGAGCGATTTTAATAATTGTTTCACCATTAATATGTGTATGGGCGACTTACCGCTGGGCACGTGCCGCAGGCCGACGCAGTAGATGTGGAAGCCGCGGTCGCAGAGGTCGCAGAAGAGCATCTTGTCGTCGTCGGCGGGCAGGCGGCAGGCGCAGCACGTCTTGCACTCGGCGCACTGCCACGCGTACTCGCGGCACTTGCGGATCGTGTCCGCGCTCAGCTCCACGCACCCGGGGTGCACTGCAATACACAAATAACACATATCATTGTTGCTTCTTCTTCTTAAGGTCCCTCTCCGAATAGCGAAGGTGGGCAGTCAGCTCTCCAAATTTAACTTTATCTCTTGCGAGGCGAAACAGTTTAGCGGCACTCGCAATTTCTGTCCACTCTCGGATATTGCGTAACCACCATTTCTTTTGACGACCAACACTCCTTGTGCCGACAACTTTTCCCATCAAGATGAGTTGGAGGAGATCATATCTGTCATGCCTGAGCACGTCGCCGAGATACGATACTTTACGATTGTTGATTACTATCACTACAATTTATTTATAAAGAATACTGAAAACATATCATCTTCCTCTATCCCACTGACCTAGGGTCGGTACATATATTTGTCCTCCACATAACTAACATCCGTTACTTCAGTCATCACCCATTTCTTGATTATGTCAACCATGAGGATTTTGAAGATCATAAGGACATATCTCTTTTTAATAAATAACATTTTATTTCACTCGCCATCAGAACCATCAATTGACAAGGAAAATGACTTTATTTAATACTTTCGTTTACATCCACGACGAAAAGTATTTCTTTTTAGTACATTAAATAAATTACAGAAAGGGTATAAAGTGGGAGAGAGTACTCACGTTTAGCATTACAGTTGGCGCAGACGAGGAACCTCTCGTGCGTGTACTTGCGGTTGGCCTCAATGCGCAGGCCGCACGCGCGGCACGTGTCCGCCTCCTCCTCGCGCGCGCCCCCGCCCCCAACCTCGCCCTGCTGGCTGCTGCGCTTCGTCTTTGTCAACTTTTTACGCTAAAATATACAATTTAATTAAAAAAATCCAACATTTAAAAAATATGTTATCTAATAATTTTATCTCAAAAAATGATAAACAAGAAGAAAGAGAAAAGGAAGGAAGTATCCCCCACTCAGACGTCCTCTCCTTCGTCAAATCCAAACCTTGCTTAATTTTTCACATAAGAAAAAGGTGGGAATAAATTAAGTCTCCAGCATAACCTAATCTAGGTCATTAACAATATTACTGCTACACTTAGCATTTTTACATGGTTGTTGTTGGTCTTTGATGGTGAGTTGATTGTGTTAAAGGATTGCCTTTAATGTTATATCTCATACTAAATCTATACTATGAGGTGCTGAATGCGGTGGTTGATGTATCAAAATGAATAGTAAATATTAGTTGAAACCTTAGGCGGGTGTATATCGACGTCGGTGTCGTCGGAGGAGGAGTGGTCGAGCCAGTCGGGCTCCGAGTCGGAGCTGGACTCCGCGGAGACCACCGCCGGCGGCGCCGCCAGCGCAGTGTTCAACGGGAAATATCTGTTTGAACAAATTACATTAGTAGAGATGTAGAGGCGGCGACTGATGGCTCGTTTGTCACCTTACACTATAAAAATGTTCTAAGCAGGATCACTCTATCTTATTTATTAATTTACTATGTCATTAGTGTTCTATTTAAAATTCATTTATTTTCACCTGCAATTTAAAAGTCGTTTAATAAACTTTCTTTCGAGACTTTCTTACACCTAATTCCTACTAGGCTAATAATATAGTTTTTTCTTTTTATATTATAAGGTGGCAAACAAGCAAGTGGCCACCTGAATGCGCTGAAATGGCGAAGCTACCGCTGCCCATAGACATCCTCTATTGCAGTGGCGTTGCCTACCCTTAAACGTCAGAGGAGACGCACATAAAGATCCATCTTTTCCTCTAACGAAAATGGTGGGAAGGGAAAGGGACTAAAATTAGGTCTCCAGCACCACACTCATCAGACAAAACGCGGAACTCCTCCCACTTCACGTCTGTCTTCTGTGTGTTCGTGGTATTGCGGTGGGCGAGCCGACCTAAAACGGGCTCTACCAGTGTAAAATGTGCATTTAAGAGTGAAGGAGGTACCTGAGTTGTTCAGCGGAGTAGATCCTGTAGCAGTGCTGGTACTGTCCGGGCAGCAGCGCGAGGGGGTAGAAGCCGAGCGGCGGGCGCGCGCGCGGCGGCGGCGGCGGCGGCGGCGGCGCGCGCCGGCGCAGCAGCGTCAGCGACTGCAGGTCCGCGCACGCCGGCCGCCGCACGGAGTTCAGCCGCGCGTTCCACTCGCTGGCCGATGCTATCGCAGCCGCTGCCATCTCCTAACACACATTTTGTAGGTTTTTTTTAGTTTTTAAAAGAATAGACAACGACATTTACATATGTAACGTCTTAAATGATAAAGCCACCTGTACAAGGCAATTAACCAGCATGATGTTGGAAGTTAGGGAGTGTTGCTTTCAAAGTAAATTGTCTAACAATAGTCTCAGTATTAATCCGTAAGTGTTAAAAACTTAAGGTTAAATAAAATAAGCCTATTATAAGTAGCACCAACAATACAATGTTCTGGTCATTACAAGCTAATTTGAAAAAAGATTCATTGTTATTAACTTCATATTAGTTACAGTTTGATAGTTAATCAATAAAAAAATGAATCAATCCTATGTTTCTTGCTGTTATTAACTTATTAGGATAAAATGAAAAAAAAAAAAGAGCAAAAACCTTTCCAGTGTCTAAAGTTTACCTGTCTAGCTTTCTCTGGATCGACTTTCGGTGGTTCCGGTTTTTGCTCCACTGGTTTCGGTTCCGGTTTCACATCAACCTTCTCCTCCTTCACCTCCTCCACTTTGACTTCTTCCACCGTCTCTTCCGTTGGTTCGGAGATCTGTTTCCTACATTGATGAGACCGGTAGTCTTCATATTTGTGCGGGTAGTCGGAAAGCATTATGTCCAAAACGTCACTTGCGTCTACTGCTGTTATACCTGTTAAAAAAATTGGTTACATCTGACTGTGGGTTTACATTATGCAAACATTTAAATAACAAAATATTGATTCCTTTGAATATCTTTGAAAATACAGTATTTAAAACATTTTACTACTTTTTTTATTGTATAGAAGAATAAAAATTACTTTATCTACATTAGAAAGCGCTTAATTTAGAAGATGTATCTTACTTGATAACTAAAATTAATCTCTAAAACAATCTCCCACAAAGAATTACATACTGGGGGGTATTAACCTTGACATCAACCTCTTATAAAACCAGATGTTGTCAACATTCAATGAGCTATAATAAATTATTAAATTAAATGCAAAACTTATATCTCCACTAAGTGACTGTTGTGTTATGTCTGGTATTAATGTTGACACTTACCAAGATCGCAAAGTGCTTCCGTGACAAGTCCTTTGCTGAGTACATAGTCTCTTTCTTCACCACTTATTGTTCTTCTTTTTAATTCTGGATACCGCCGTTTGAAACTTTTAACTCCAAGGAACATTGCAACTTGTTCTTGAATCATCATTACCTGAAAAAAATGTTAATACACTCAAGTAAAGATTCACAAGCAAGATTTAAAAAGTAAAATTCTAAAATCATTTTAAATCTATCACCATAATCTATCAAATAGTCATGTATCAATATAAATAGAAATCAATTATTATTTATTCTATGGATATTTAAATTCCTTAAAAAAATTATGCTGATAATAATGTACATAAAATATTGTGGGGATGTAAATGAAGTTGACAGTAAAAACTAAATGTAAAAATAAAATAAAAAGTCCTATGTTTAAAATATTTTTTTACCTGAAATGAGATGTGTTAACAATATTTAACAATGTTGTTTACATTTAGTTTTGAGCAGTTAATGAAGTTTCTTCAAACTATTTTAAGATATGATTTATATGTTTACATCTGATAAACTGACTATTAAGTTAATAGCCTCAATAGATTATTTGTCCAGTATTAGAAATAAACTTTATTTGAAAAATAATTTCTGATATCGATTTAACTCAAATTACCATTGCAATAATTTGAATTAAGTACAGGATAGACAGATAAACAGCAATATGTCATTCTTTATGTATGCCAATAGAGTTGGCACATCAGCAAAACAGTTTATTGTTTCTGACATGCCAAATAAATAAAATTTAATATTTACCTGATGTTCTGCAGCCGACTGTTCTGGAGGTGGCCAGGTGTACTCTTTGACATCAGCGGCAGTCCACTCTTTATTACTGTAAAACAAATTACCTTTTAAGCAACAATTTATATGAATTATGATTTACATATATAAAAAGTAACATTATATACCTGTCAAATAACTCTGCAAACTTTGACTTCTTTGTTTTACTACTTTCGTTTGTTGAACTCTTTACAGAGCTTTGTGAATCTTCGTCAAGTAAATGTGATGGCCTGCAATTGGAATAGACGAAAATGTATTAAAACGATGCATGTTTCAACATTTTAAAAATATCTATATTAGAGACTCACTTTGCAGGAGTGGCATTGTCATCCATCATACAAGTCTCCTCTTCAAATAATTGTACTGTTGTTGTCGCCGGCCCACAAACACGACCATATATCCCCATAGTTTCCTGAAATAAAGAAAACATTTAGAATACAAGAGAGTGAGTAAAATTATTAATAATGTTAACAATTAAATAATTGTAACTAATCTGTGTAATGCATTAGTACCTCACCTTCATGTACATGGCGCCGCGGCCCCCTCCCCGCCCCCGGCCGCGGGCGCGCGGCGAGCGGCCAGCTGCACGGCCCCGCCCCCCGCGGCTGCCGCGCCCGCCTCTCGTCCCGCGCCCCCGCCCTTCGTTCATTTCAGGTGACTTTAAATACGAATTTTCCAAATTGGGAAGTGTAGCATCAAGCACAACTTTTAATTCTGGGGCATCACTAAAGAGTTTCAAATCTCCCATAGATGAATTTCGTCTTCTACTACTAATAGGGGTCGAACAAGGCATTTTATCTAGGGCTTCGGTCATCCGCGGCAATTTTATTCTTGAACTAGTCAGATCTATAATTTCGGTAGTTTTTTGTTCTTTGAAAAATTTGTTAGCTGCATCCGTAACTGTCTCTGGTGTGTTGCTTGACGAGGTGTCTAGGCGTCGAGAGCCACGCCCGCGACCTCTACCTCTGGGTTTTGTCAATATCATGGGCCTATCCCTGAAAATGGTATTTAGATATTCAATCATATAAAAAAAATCTTATTAGAAAATAGTGTTTTAAAAGGGAATAAATTTTACCTTGATAAGCGTAAAGACCTTTGAGGTCTCTCCTCTAGGGCAGGAGTTGGCAAGACAATTTTGGCGCCTTCCGAAAGCGGGATTTTACGTGGTCGACCGCGCTTTTTTGGTTGTGGTGTAGAAGCCATCATCGAGGGGGTAGAATTAGGAATGTTGAAATTCTCATTGTGCACACTTGAGGGCGCCTTTAACCCACTCACTTCAAGAGGATCTTGTGACTCTGATGGTATGTTGAAGTCATGTAATTCAGAATTATCATTAAAAATTAATTCTGGTGCTTCTGAGTGGCTTTTTCCTATAGTTATAATTTCTACTCTGTCAGAGCTGCCTGTTGACGTACTGGATTCAAGTTCAGTTGTTATACTAGAATTCTTTTCTGAATGACACATATCATTAAAGGGCTTAACCTGTATTTTAGGTTGGAAGTTGGATAATATGTTGTGTAATTTAGAATTGCCATTTTTTGCACAGTTTTCATTTTTTAGGACTGTGTGATTGACAAGCTTTCCTCCTTGTTTAATTTCTAGTGAAAGTTTATTTGTTGGTGACAATTCTTCTGCTTTGTTTATAACAGGGCTCATAGATAATGATTTATTAGATAAAAGTTGTCCTAGTTTTAACCTTTTTGTTTCAAGCACTGATAGTTCTGGTTCTTTGTTGTGAGTTGGACTTGTAATTGCAGTGGACGGTCGTTTTATGATATTCTTTTTAACTAAGGGTGACTTGTCAGAATTTTCTACAATCCTAGAACTCCTTAATCTTTTTCCCAATTGTATTGTTGGACTGAGATTTACAGTTTGTTTCCTCCTGATGTTTATGATATTCTTTTTATTATTTTCATTGTCATTTATCTCATTTTGAGTGTTTTCTGTTGTATACATTTGTTGTTCTGGTCTTTTTGGATCCTCAGTGATTATTTTAGCAGATGCACCATGGTCAGTCTTATTTATTTTTAATATAATTCTAGGTGAATCTTGGCCTGAACTTTGATTAGTTATTTTTTCCGATACTGTTATTTCTAAGGGTTTTGATAAGCTTTCACTCAGTTCTTTAGAAACTCCTTGCATCATATTAACTTTAAAAGGAGTTTCAACTACTCCATCTTTTGAAGTTATGGTAATATTGCTGACTGCATCAATTTTAGAGCAAAGTTCAGTATTAGTTATGTCTTTACTGCTATTTGTAGTAAGTTCCTTGTTTTCTGAACACGGGGTCTTTGACCTTAAGGTGGGTGACAAGCAATTACTTGTAACAGATTTGCTTTCTTCAACATTACTTAAAACATCACTTTTTGTTTCCAGGAGTTTCTTCAATAAAGTACAATTTTGTATTGAAGGTGAATGTTGTTGCTTGTTAATAACTTTAGTTATAGTACAGTCCGGAGTCAAATTACTACCATCGTAATCATCTAATATTACAACATCATTAGTCTGATCACTTAATAATTTTACTTGACATGTCCCATCCAATTTATTAATGTTAGATTCAACTTTATTTATATCAAGAACTACATTTTCTTGAGATACTGTGGAGTCATATGTGATATTTTTCTTTATTTCAATGGTGACAGACTTTTCCATGGGTGCAATATGTGCATCAGTATCTGTTTCATTAGCTTTAGCAATACAGTTTTGTTTTGGCAATGGGGTCATGCTTCTCTGCACTTCTGTAACTTTTGTATCAACATTACTACATGTTTTTTCATCCATGGCAGAGTTATGTTCTGTACATTCAGTAGTTTTTATATTACCAGCCTCTTTGATGGGTTTTGTGGCCAGTTTAAAATTGGTTTTTGAAAGTACATTGTCATCTACACTGTTCATATGCATGTCTTTGTCTTCACACTTATCAGAATTGACAAGTTTTTCACTGCCACTTGTATCAACGGTTTTCATATTAATTTTCATAACCAGAGGTGGATTTTTAACTACTGCTTCTTCACAATCATCATTAACTTTGTGGACATCATCAGGTTTCAAAACAGGCTTAATATTTAGTTTAGTAACGACTGGTATGATAGAATTTCTATGCTCTAAGCTACGTAAACTCTCTTTTTTAGGTGATAGAGTAGAAGTATTTTCTTCTGGCTTTATGATAGGTTTTATATTAATTTTAGATACAACAGGAATATTGTCCACATTTGATATGCTAGGTCTTGATTCTTCTGTTTCACTTGGTCTTAAAATGGGTTTTATATTGATTTTGGTTACAACAGGTATGTTGTCTGTATTATCATCACTAGAATTTCCAGTTTCTGAGGATTGATTTTCGGAAACTTCATCTTTTGACATATCTTCATCTTCTGGCTTAATTATAGGCTTAATATTAATTTTCGTAACAACAGGTATATTATTTTCATCTAATTCAACTTTAGGATCACAGTCTTTTTCTTCCAATTTAACATCAGGCTTTTTTATTGGTTTTATATTTATTTTTGTAATTTTAGGTATCTCTATATCTTCTCTATTACAATCTATCTCATTATCTTTAGGTTTAATTACAGGCTTAATATTTAGTTTTGAAACTACAGGAACTTTATCCTCCAATTTTTCTGTTATATCTGTACTATCTGGCTTAGGAATTGGTTTAATATTAAGCTTAGTTACAGCAGGGATTTGTTCATAGGTTTCACATGAGCTCACTTTTTTTAAATGATCTGTATTTAAAATTGGTTTTATTGTAATTTTAGGTATGTGACGGTCTTTTCCCTCTATTGAGGTAAATGAGTCTGTTGATATTTTTAATTTTGGTATTTGTTGAATTTCCGTGTCACTACAAGTAGTACTATCCTTGGCAGCAGTGTCTGGTGGCTTGATAGGTTTGATTGTAAGCTTTGGACTAAGTGGCTGGCTGTCCGATTTTGCTACTGTTTTAATTGTTAACTTGGGTATTTTTTCAGTCTGAGAATCATCACTTTGAGTGATGACTAGTTTCAATGTAGGCAAACCATCTGGATCATCATTTTCATTATGTTGAATACCTTTTATGGTTAGTTTCGGTATATTTTTCTCTGTATAAAATTGCCCTTCGGCTTCAGTGCCAACTTTACCCAATTTAATAGTTACTTTTGGCACAACATCTGCCGGTCCTTGATCTGAAGCCGAAGCCTGATCTGATGTGCTTGTACTTTCATCGTTTTCTGAATATTCTGATTCAGATATTTCACTACTGCTAGATTTTCGATGTTCATCATTTATTTTTTCAGGTCTTTTAGGTATAGGTTTAATATTTAATTTTGTTATACATGGTATTTTTTCTTGGAAATCAGATTTGTTTTCTTCCTCTGAGGGTGGTCTAATTGGTTTTATTGTTAACTTCGGTACAGGAGGTTTAGTTTCCTCAGGTTTATTGCCTAATTTTATAGTGAGTTTTGGTACTTGTTTCTCTGATTCATTAACAATAATCAATTCATTATTAACAATATCACCGCAGCTGTTGTCATTTTTTTCTTCAGAGAGCTTTGTAGTTGACTCTGCTGTTTCACTTGTCAAAGATATATTTAACTTTATTGATGGAATTTTCTTCAGATCTGTCAGACTTTCTTCTGGTTCTATCTTGTTACTTGAACATTCATTTGGTTGTTTCTCGGTATTATTTTCTTCCACAGAACTTTCATTCAATGTTATTGTTGGTATATTAGGTGTGTTTGGAACAATGTCTATGCTAATCATATTATTATCCGATATTTCATTGTCAATATCTGATTTTGATGTGCTTATTACATTTAATTCTGAAGTAGATTCATTTGGTAGGATTTCAGATGTTGATTGACATTGATCCCTAACAGGTGATTTCTTTACATGGGAATTATCTCTATAACTTACTTGGGGAAGTACTTTTTGTCTAATGAGTTTAATTTTTTTAGTAGGACTTGATGTTTCTGCTTTGCAGATACTAATTTCGCTTACATTTCTAATCTCATCTGGCTTAACATTACCATATACAGGTGGCACCGCATCTGATGAACTGGACACATCTTTGACAACACACTCGCTACTCGATTGTTCATGAACTTCTACATTAATACTTTGCAGGTCCACTGTAGAGGACACAGTGGTATCAGGACGGCGGTCACTCGGCGCTGGCCTCACGAGGCGCCGCCGCAATGGTTTTGTCACACTTTCCTCAACTGGCACTCTATCACTTAAACTAGTGTCACTTGATGAACATTCCGCACTCCCTATAACAACATTGTCTTGGATATCACTGGACGTAACACATTTCACTGTCCGTTCACATGTTTCCTCATTCTTATCAGAAACACTTTGGTCTGTTTGCACAACACTGCTGGCAGGAATACTAGGGTTTGGGCTGCTGGGAATCGACACAGAATAGGAATCTTCAGTGTCATGAGAAGTTGTTGGCTCTGCATTGTTTTCACTTACTGTTAATTGACATGTCTCTGACAAATCGCCAATTTCTCTCAATAAATTGTTTGATGAACTGCCACTACTAACTTCTTCTTTTGGAATTTCTTCGTCTGTTTTAGATATTACTGCCTGTTCAGAAAATGATGGTTGTGTTAGGGTATGTTCAGACTCACTGTGAGATGTTTGTATTTGCTCATCTAATCGATCGTTAGATTGACATTTTGGAGCACATTCAACCATCTCCACTGTAAGTGGGACACGTTTAGGAGCCCCAGGACCGTCAACAATTTCATCGATCATGTCGAGGATCGCTTCAGTGCTAGTGTTGACGTCTTGCGTCGATGGCGAAGGAACGCTATCGCCATCGAAATTATCCTCAGACATCGCGGGAGTTTTGCAGGAATCTCGCGCTTCCGATGAATCTTGCTGTAAACTACTAGTTGCACAGATGTCCTCAGCTTGCCCGATATCTTTTTCCCGCGCCGATAGGCGGCGGGAAGTGTTTGTTGCGGTTCCCGCATCATCTTCTGAACTCTCCATTATCTACTCTTTTGCGACGCTGTCATATCTGAAATATAAAACGCTCGCTGGGTGATATTTACGTTACGAATGGGTAACCTGTCGACGTGCGAGCTTGACAAACCACAGGCACCATTCTAATTCACCATAACGCTACAGAAATTTGTTCACAGAGTTCATGGTGTCGATTATTGTACCTACACATGTACTTTATTTTCATATTCACAACGTTTACGTGTCGCCCGAGTACACACGGGGTCTCGAAAACTAATCATTCAACAGCGTAAACCGGCAAACAAAAAGCTTGTATACGCCATTTTTAAAACCAAAGACATGGCAGGTTTGGCTGTACGAGCCAATAAAAAATATCTTATACGGACAATTCGGCCATTGTCGTGTTGGTAAACTGCAAGAAGCCCATAGATCGCTCCACTTGAGCTTTTTAGCTTGTAGAAGAGTAATAAATATGCTTTTAGACATGTGGTAAAACGAGTAGGATAATAGCTCTCAAACATTAAATTGATTTTTTCATATGGCAATGATATTGTTTTGGTTCAAAGTGTTGACAGCTTACAATCTCGTTTCGTCACTTTTCATCTATAATGTTGTCTGTAAATCGTTAAATGTAACATGTAAAATGATTAAAAACAAGCGTCATCGAGTTTATTTTGTAATAAACAAATATTTCGCCCTACATAAATTATAGTACTTCATATTACATCTTAAATTTATAAAGTTTTTAAATCAACAGATCTTGAGAAAATGTATAATTATTTTAAGTAAGGAAATAAAAGGAGGACGAGGAGAGAAAGATGATATCATGGCGTGTGTTGCAGCAGAAACGGAGATTGTGGATCCTTATGAATTTTTGTACTTCTGGTTAAGCTATACTACCTATACTATACTATACCTACGTGCTATTACATTATATGTTTAATAACTTAAGTATGGTGATAATTAACACCTGCTATTGGACCATAAATAATTGTATATCTCTTATTCAAGGAAAAACATATTATGCACAAAAACTTTTATTTACAAATTAGCGTTAATTAATGCTTGAAAATGCTATTTTCATTGGAAACAATTAGGCAAAAATCTTTGGTTTCGGTAGCAAATTAAAAGTTGTCGCATTTTAGTCTTTCATTAAAGACCTAAGCAAAGGGTCTATAAAGGGATACTTGGGGATACCTACAAAAAATCTTATTTATTTCAAATTCTTTGTGTCTTTGTCTACTGCGCTTTTTGACGTAAAAATATAACCAAACTTTTATTTGATTATTTTGACAGCTTTCAACTCCAACAGCACCTCAACATATTGTTATAAATAGCATCTTTTTTAACAATAAATACTTAAACATTGGAGTAAAGCTATGACGACTATCCGGCCCTTTACTTGTGAAGATATGTTATACTTTAACAATGTGTTAGTACATTAAAAATAAATTTTTCATTTTTATTTACATTGAGATGAGTTAAAATTTTCTTTTATTTTACAGAAATTTAGATCCCCTTACTGAGACCTATGGTTTGTCATTTTACACACAATACCTAGCACATTGGCCGGAATATTTTCAAGTTGCAGAATCTCCTAGTGGTGAAATAATGGGCTATAGTAAATATCTTTAATGTCTATACCTCTCTGAAGATTTTTTGTTACACATTTGTTATGATTTAGTCTCCTATTTAAGCATATAATGTTTAACAAGTAATGTTGTGTTCATGTTTAAACTGTATGTATAATTTTTATTTCAGTAATGGGAAAAGCCGAAGGACACGGTGAAAACTGGCACGGTCATGTAACAGCTTTAACTGTCAGTCCTGATTACAGAAGGTTGGGTTTAGCTGCTACTTTGATGAATTTACTTGAAGAAGTGTCTGAAAAGTAAGTATAGTTTGTTAAGGGTGTTTGCCCATTGGCCCAACAGGAAAGACCCATACAGTTTTAATTTAAATTATTCTATGTGACAACAGTTATTGCTACATTAGGCTTGAAATATTTCAAAATAATAAGTGTAATTTGATTTCCAGGAAAAAGGCTTATTTTGTTGATCTGTTTGTGAGAGTCAGTAACAAAGTAGCAATCAACATGTACAAAAATCTTGGATATATTGTATATAGAACTGTATTAGAATATTATTCCGGAGACCCTGATGAGGATGCTTATGGTAAATTAATAGTTTTAGCTTCTTATTACAATAAATATTACATTAGCAAAGAATAATTTAATAATGTAATTAAATTGAGAATCATTTACTTAAATTACATTGATCTTTTTAAAATGATATAAGTTATGTTTTAAATTTATAAACAATTTGTTTTCAGATATGAGAAAGGCTTGCTCAAGAGATGTGAATAAAAAATCTGTTATTCCTTTATCACATCCAGTTAGACCAGAAGATGTCGATTGAAATATTATCAAAATATATGATTTAATAACATACTTTGTTTCCTTGTTAAATTAAAGTGTATATATTACCAGAAGCAACGATGAATGTATTGGAATGTTAGCCAATACATCATTGGTTCTGGTAATCTAAATTAAAATTATGAGAAATCTAAATGAAATGTTCATATATTGCCATACACATTTATTAGTATTGTTCAAGACTTATGTGTATCATCCAATTCTGGAGTGCATGGTGACTCATCACCTTGGCTTTCCTCTGCATTATTTGATGGTTCCTCTTCAACTTCTTTTTGTTTGCGCCAATTTTTAGCGGCTGCTAGCAATTTAAGATTCGGTCTGACCATTTCATCTTCAGGGAATATGTAATCAAATACTTCCTCCCAACCTTCTTCCACTCCAGTTTCGCTGACGATCTTTTGTCGCTTTTTGACTCTTCTAGGCATTTTAGACAAGACCTTTTCAAGTTTTGATTCTTCACCAATTTCCACTTCGAAATCTTTCCAAGCTTCTAAAAGAAGAACTCTTGACTCCTTTTCTCCTGCACTCCGAAGGCTATCATTTGCTCGTTCATAAATCCTTCTTGCCAAATCAACATTAATATTATCAGGATTTTCTGCATTAAGTTCAAATTTAGCATATGACAACCAAACTTTCACATGTACAGTTCTTTCCAATAACCTTTCGTACAGTTGTCTAGCCTTTTCTGTTTCACCTTGGGATACTTCAAAATCAATGTAGCTTTTCCACAACAACTCTGGCATATCTAATCTTGGCTGGGAGACTGCTATTTCATAAATAGCTCGAGCTCTGTCTATGTCGCCAAGCAATGTCTCCAATTCCGCAAATTTAATCCATGTTATACAATTTTCAGGTCCATACTCTAGAAACTTTTGGTACAATATTCTACATCTATCAAATTCTCGCAATTGGATTTCTAAATCAATATATCCTCTGTATAATTTATCTCTGGGACATATCCCTAATGCCATTCCTAATGTCTTTCTAGCTTGTTTTAGGTTTTTACATCTTACTTCTAATTGTGCATACATTAACCAGATCTTGGAAAACGTAAATATTTTGTGAGGAATGAGCTCTAAACAAGTTCTGTATACTTGTCTGGTCCTTTCTATATCTTCTGCTTCCAATTCTTCATACAAAGCGTAATTAATCCACAAGTAAATATATCGCCGCCAGAATTGTTTGTCTTTTGATGGTGGTACATTAGCTATTGCTCTTTCATATGTATCCCTTACATCATCCACATTTCCTTCATTTTCAACAAGGCGTATATAATCAAACCAAGCATCATAATTTGTAGGATTTTCTATTACTTCTTGCTCATACATATATTTCCTCTTGTTTACTATCACATCTTCAATTCCAGACCTATCTCCATATTTCTTCTCGTGAATTGTGTATGCTTTATACAATTCTTTGTTCTTATCTTTTGGAATATGGTCTAAGGCATATTTATATATGACCCTTGCTCTATCATGTTCTTTTTGATTTTCTTCAAATTTAGCAAAAGCTATAAACAGTCTTTCATCAATTTCTTCATCTCCAAAGAACTCCACTGCTCTTTCATAAACCTTTCTTGCACTATTGATGAATCCATGATTTTCTTCAAATCTAGCATACTTTATCCAGTGCTTTACATCAGGATGGACCATGACGAATCTTTCGTAGATTTGTCTCGCTCTATCCAGTTCCTTGTAGCGCAATTCAAAGTTGATGTATGTTTGCCAAGCTTGTTCATCTGGTTGCCATTCCATCCAACGCTCAAATACCTACAATAAACAAAACTTTTTAAATGCGAATTTGAGGCAAAAACAACTGCTAATATGGAAAATCTTAAACTGTGTAGATATTAGTGTATAATAGTGATTAAATTAAAAACTTAATTTGGTTGGGTTATATTTTATATTTCTTACAAAATAAATACTCACTTGTCTTGCTCCAGCAACATTCTCCAACATTTCTTCCATATATGTATACTTATACCAGAACTGTGATACTCTTGGTAATATTGTCACACCTCTGTCCCATAAGTTACGAGCATGGTTCACCTGTCTGTTACGCATTTCCATCTCTGTGTACTTAAGCCTGTAATATAAAAGTAAAACTCTATCAGACTAGATAGTACAGAACATTATAACACAAATATAGGGAATAGTGCACAAACTTGATATAAACTATCAACAACCGCCCTTAAGCAGTATTCTTCTTATCAGAGTGGCTACTAGCCTTGCACATTATTTAAAGAAATGGCATATCCCGTAATCTCTATTTACCTTTGAGAGATTTCTTTGTTCAAAAGTTTACTGTTTTATTTTTCAGTCCAGTTAAATTTTTCTCAATCACCTGTAGTTTATATATTTCAAATAAATTGTAATTATTCTTATACATACCATAGAGTAACATTTCTATGATCCACATCCAAAGCCCGCTCGTAAATTGAACGGGCTCTCTGTATCTGTTTCTGTGACTCCTCCCATTGGGCATATTTTAACCAATTGCCGATTACCTGAATACAAAAAAATAATATAAGTATAGAATTAGAATGATAATACATTTTCACAATATTTAATTCAAATAGCCAAGTTTACTTTTTAAAAGGCAAAAATGTCAGCCATTTATCTTAAGTTCTAGTAATAAAATATAGCTAAAATAACCAGTGATATGTAAATAAAAACAAAATTTAAATTTAAGACATTAAAATTAGAGAAATGCCTGATTCTAATGGACAGTTCTTGGCTATGATAGAATTACTTTGTGATATGTAGTAAATCATTAAATAACTGAATTTATATCTCACCTGTCTATTTTTACGTATATTATCCTCGAATGCTTTCCGTTTACGATGCTGATAGTCTCTAAGCTCTTCTGGGTCAGAAATCTTCTGCTTTGGAGGTGGGGGTAAGATCTCCAAATCTCGTTCCTTAGCTTCTCGTAACAGTTGTTCAGCTGTTATTTGTATTTCTGCAGGTGCTTTGTTTTTGACCTGAAAGATTAAAAAAATATTAAGCAAACTTATGAACAAAAGAGGTTAAGGAAATAATAGTTTATCTTACTTTGGCCACTTTGGGCATTTTTGTGGCTTTTCCTTCCATTGTGATATCTTGTTATAATGCTTTATAATACAAGTTTCGCTTATAATATATCCAAAAACTCAAATCAAATAGTATCGAAATCTAAAATTCTGAAATTGTCAAACATAAACCAAAAAACCAACACAACAAAACCAAAGAATATGTCGATGTCGATGTCGAGATTTTGTATTATAATGTTGCTTACACCATTAATAATATAGACAAAGACAGCAATTTTAAAAAGTGAATTAAAAAAACCCTTTTCCTTGAATAAAATGGGATTTCATAAGTTTCATACTTTTACGGCTGGTATAAGGATATCGGTCACATTACCCTTGTTACCTTTTCTTTGCCATCTTTTAATTTGACATTGACAAATTGTCATAAGTTGATGTTGAATTTAATATTATAGGTTATGTTTTCATTATAATTCAATTAAATTATTATTTTAACTGAAAGAATAAATAATATTCAATTAAGTGGTACAATAGGTAAATTAGGGATTAAATAATTTTAACTATTTACAATGCATTTAATGCACAGAAACTTAAAACTGTTGTCACAATGCCTATTACCAAACACAGGTTAGTAAAATAAACTGATATATTAAAGTTTACTAATCGGTTTAAATTTTCTTCATTTACATTGCAAACATTTATTTCAGCCTTATATTCAATGCGATGTTTTATGACGAAGTCTTCTGGAACAGATCAAATGGAATACTTAAATTCAGCACTTGAAGGCAAAGTAATAGATTGGCCAGAATTAAAAAGTAAAATTCTTAATATACAAGGAATCTTGAATGAAAAGAATGTGGACGCTGTAATACTTAAAACAATGGTTAGGAGCAGAAAATTAGATTTGGCATTGTCATATTCTGATTACTTAAAGAATTCCAAAACAGTATTGAGTATAGGTGTTACCAATGGTATCCTTAACTTATATCATCAAAAAGCAAGAATGAACCCATTGCTTGAATCTGAAAGAGAATTTATTTTAAAAACTTATGAAGAACTTTATGATAAGTACAAAGTTTTGGATTATACCACTGCAGATTCACTTTTACATGCATTATGTGCAATTAATGAATGGAAAAAAGCTTTAAGAGTATTGGAAGATTTTAAAATAAGTAGTACACCGAGTCATTCAGCTTACAGTACCTTAATAGGGACTCTGTTCAAATGTAACAAAGACAAAGAAGCATTAGATATAGTACGGAGGAGTTTAGCTGATTTAAGACCATTACAACATTATGCTTATAAACAATGGATTGAATATTATCAAAGAAAATACAAAAGCAAAGGAACAATTCTAAAGAATTTAGATAAAATTTGTTCACATATATCAGCAAATTTTACAGTTATTACAAAAGAGACAGCAGATGAGATAAAAAATACATATGTTTCATTAGGATGGAAAGCTGATTATTCAAAAATAATACATGATAGGTAGATATTATTGTGTTTTATAAATTATAACACGGCTAAACTCACGTGATAACATTCGGTGTAGGCACCGACAGTTTCGAACCCGTTGGGGGTCCTTCTTCAGGGTGAGTGATTAATCGGGTATACTCGCGTCACTATGTGCGTCTGCGCCGACGCACATAGTGAATAGTGTACCCCCCGCACCCCCCGCGCCCCCCGCCCTGTCGAAACGCGCGATGCGGGCGAGGGCACGCAGTGACCGTCGCGACGCGCTAGCGAGTATACCCGATTAATCACTCACCCTGAAGAAGGACCCCCAACGGGTTCGAAACTGTCGGTGCCTACACCGAATGTTATCACGTGAGTTTAGCCGTGTTATAATTTATATAGTATAATGTCTCACGAAAGTTTTAATAAGTTAATTATTGTGTTTAATAAAACAATTTTTTTGTTTTTTTTTTTACATTGTTAAAAAATCTATCATTCAATGTTTATAGTTTAATGATATTTAATATATTTTTTTGTTAAATTTCAGTGGCCAGTGTACATCATGTGACACTTATTTAAATTGTCTGAAAATATCCGATGAAGAGTTTAAATTACTCCAAAATGATGTAAAGAATAAACTCATTGTTGGTTCAGATTTATTTCTTAAGACATCACCGAAAGAATTGAGTGCATTTTTAAAGTTTGTTGAATCAACTGCACCATATGATATTGTTTTAGATGCTTTGAACATTGCTTATGCTGTACGCAGAGGCTCCCATGCACAGAAAATGTCTTTGTTGAAAACCGTTGTTGATCATTTTGATAGAAAAAACAAGAGAATATTATTATTGGGTCGTAAGCATATGTTAACATGGCACAGAAAGACTCTAGAATATTTGACGCGTAGAACATGTAGCTTCTTTACTGAGGATATGTAAGTAATTCTCTAATATTTTCTATTTACTTTGCTTCATAAGCACCATGACAGATGTTAAAACTATAAGACATGTGTGTTAACAAAGAGTAATTAATAATAAGACAATATTATTTCTGCTTGCTTTTAAAAAAAATCATAACTATTATTATAAACACGAAAGATTTGTATTTTTGTAGATTTTGAAATAACTCAAAAACTACTGGTCCAATTTTAAAAATTCTGTCACCATTAGAAACATAATTTATGTATGAGTAAAGGCTATATTTTTTTAATATCATGCAGACGAAATTGTTTGCAAGATCAAGTATTCTCTAAGTTGTTTAATTATGTTGTTTGATTGTAGCTCACAAGATGATCCTTTCTTCTTAACTGCGGCTATTTTAAGTGGACCACATACAGACATTGTGTCCAAAGACTTATTGCGCGGACATAGATTTATATTGAAAGATGAACAGCTAAAGCAAATATTTCAAAGATGGCAATGGCAGCATCAGTGGAAAGTCTTTACAAATAGAAATACTGTTGTACAGGTAAAATAATGAAACTTATTTATTATTGTAAAAAATGTTAGTTTGTGAAAATTAAGAAAGCCATGGTGGAGAGACTTATCTTATTTATAACTATAATCTATATACTAATATAATAAAGTATTAATACACACTACTTAGTTACATAGGATGTTAGCAATCACAGTATTATTATGATACTTTTTTACGACTTAAGGGTGAGTAAAATGGGAAAAACGGCTTGTTGCGAAAAAGGACCAAAAACTATAAGCTCACTATATTCCAGTTACAGAATTAGAAAAATTCTAATTCTACTTTAACCAGTGTGAAATTTAAGAAATAACTTTTTTTTCTAGCCACCACTACAATATACACCTTGCGCACAGAAAAACAAAGATGGCTGGCATTTGCCTTATGAAAAAATTAATACTGAAGATAAAGGCTACCTTCACGATGGAATCCCAGATTATGATAGCTGGCTTTGTTTAAAATCAAAATTAGTTAGATAATTGTGCAAATAAATGTATTATTATAAAAAATAATTGTTTTATTTTTGATTTTGTATGCATTTTGTCTACATGTGGGACAGATAAAGCAAACGAACAGTAGAATCCCATGTCGTGCTTTAAAGAGAATGGATGTGTTTTACAAGGACCTATACAACTTCTTTATTTTTCCATGTGGTTTTATTCGTAAATGCCAATGACAGTGTCAAAATTGTCATAATCATAATGTCAACCGGCGTAGCCATCTCGTATTGATTTCTTATTATTTTAATACAAAATTTTTTGTGTATCTAAAAAGTATCACAATGCCAATGTTTGGGAAATCAAAGAAAAAGAAACATGACGATGAAGGTTCCGGATCTGGATCTGATTCAGTATCTGCGAAATCTAGAAGCAGTTCCGGTATGATTCTTGGTTCTTCGGTAGTCGTATGAGTTGCCTTCAATTGCTTGAACTAAATTGCTGTTGCTCGAATTTTCGTTCACACGGAATTAAAAAAATTAGTAAATTATAGCCTTGGTTACTCACTGTTAACGTAGCTTTTTAATGGTTAACGATTTTTTGAAATCGGCCCAGTAGTTTTTGTAAATAAATTATTTCAATACATACAAAAATACAAATCTTTATATTATTAGGTATAGATTAGTAAAGATGTAGCGACGTAATTAAATCTAATAAAAACAGACAGTCAGAAAAAAAGTTTGTATCTTGGTAACTAAATATTGTTCTAGATCATTAGTACTGTATACCATGTTCTAATTATTTTATTGGTCAGGTGAAATACCGAAACGTCGTATGTCGCGCTCTCTACGCAGCCACATGGAGCGAGTTGAGATACTAGCGCGGCCCCAGTCGCGTCGCCTGCGCTCGCTCTGGGATGAGAAGTGTGCCATACTGCCTATAGACAGAAGGGACAAGATTAAAAGTGCACTTGAAGAGGATTACTTTCTCAGTCCTGAGTACGCTTTACTCTTTTAATATTGATGAGCATGTATAATTGTATGTAAAAAGCAGGAGGGAAGAATGGCATAACAAGGAGAACGTTAGTAATGAGTGTGGAAAGGTACACCGGTAGTGGGAGACCTAGAACGAGATGGATGGATTGCGTGAAAGGTGACATTATCAAGAGGAGAGTGATGAATTAGATGACGTATGAAGATGATGATGAGCATATTTTTAAAAATTTACTGAGATGTGTCACGAAAATGCGACATAACATAATTGACTGATACTAAATAAATCAACCATTTGGTAGAATATAAATAAACTTAAATTTGAAACACATTTCCAATGTTTTTCTGTAATTGGTGTTATACTAATATTATGTTGATCAGCGTGATTTTAATTTAGGCAAACAGAGCAATACTTTCAAGCAATTGGTCATCAAAAGCGGTGGCCTGGTTTCGGTACGACGATCAGTCGCAAGGAGAATGCGGACTTGGAGAGGGAACTGCGCCAACGCGAGAAGTGGCTTATCAATTTCAGTGCACAGGTTCTATTCAAGTAATTGTAGGACGTAGAAGTTTATTTACAACCCATATAAATAGTAAACAGAAAAAAAAATTATGCCTTATAATACTTAGCGATCGAAGATATTAAATAGATTGTTCAAATGTTCATGAAGGTGGCGTATCGGCTCTGCGACTACATAGCTAAAGGGGAGAAGGAAATGTTGGTGTCAAACAGACTGAGAAGTATTGCAGATATCGTATTAGAACGAGTTGCTGATATACTTGGTAATATATATTTCATCGAGTATATAGTGACGCTAAATGACGTGATAATGTCGCAAAGCTGGAAACAGTTGAAAGTGTAGACACAAATTGACATAGGCTTTAAGTAGTGGATTAAAACGATGCGATGATGTTCTTAAACCTAATTACAATTACATTAGTAGTTCTTGAATAACATTCTTGTTTGTGTTTGCATTAGGTGAACCGAAGCCATCGCGTTCTCATCCCGGTAGACTTGCGCGTTTCATGGTGGCGATATCGGACCGTATTGCGGTGTGGATAGAGAACGCGGTGTACCGCGCCAATGCACTCGAATGTCGCGAATCGGAAGCATTCGACGACCACGTCCGCCTCGACGTGGATCCATCACTAGTCCGATAGATTATGAACTCAATTATGTGAGGTAATGTCGGGTTAAATTGATCTTATTATTAAGTAATGGGGTGAAAAAAAAGGGATTCTGTGCGATTGTACACTTTTAGAGTGTACACCTTTGAATAAACTATCGCACATCTGTTTAGTTGAGCTTTGATTCCTATGAGCTATATATGGAGGTGCTCACACTGCTCAATTTTTAGTTGTGCAACTAAACAATTGGTTGCGAAACAATCGACAATCGCATAACAGTATTTTGCTCATGTTTTGATGTCCTTTGAATTTAGACTATTTTCTCCTATCTAACCCAGGCAAGGTTAATAAAAGAGTTTGAGTTACTGTAGAAAAAAATATTGGAAACAATATAAGAAGATTCTAAATATGCGTAGATATCCTTCTGACTTTAAGTTATACATTACTGACAAGTTTCTATTATCGTTTAATGGATTGATTTAGTTAAATGTATGATAATCATTTCAAGTTGACAACAAAGGAAATGTATGATGCAAGTGTTTCTAGTTTATACATCACACCATTGCAATCGTAAACGACGAATAAATTATACTAAGATATATAACTATGATTTGCTATTTATGCATAGCAACGCTTTGATTATTTTCCAATCATAAAAGATAGAGAAGATAAAAGAAATAAATCTTACTTCTTAATTTTTTTAGGATGTGTTTTTATTATTATTAATACTTCTGTTTATTTTTACAGTTTTGCAGCAGAAATTGAAGTTACATGATTTAAATGGTTTTGCAAATTATTGTATTGCAACGGATGGCTATTGTCCGGAAATTATTTAACATGTAATCTATACTGAACGTTTGATTCTTTTGTTTAATACTTGTCACTGTTACCCATAGATTTATGTAATAAAAATTTTGAACATTAACGACTTTTTTCACCTTTACAAGGAGTGATAATTTAAGACTTTTTAACTAATTAATGACTGATGAAACTTTGTTATCATGATTTCTATAATATATTATTTTGTACCGGGACTGGCGTTACTATGAAATTAAAAACAAAGAAACCAGAACACGTATGTATTTGAAATATATTTAAACAGCTTTGAAAGCTTCATTAAACATTTTAAATTCAAAGATATTAGTCATTTAGCATACAAAAATTATTCGCTGCGAAAAAAAAGGTGAATGCTTAAATATTACTCTGAGACTTTTCTTGTTTTCTTGTGTTTTCGACTTTTATTACATACAATGCAATGTCATTAATAATGTAAAATAGTCCTGACCTTAAAGGGCTGTATGATAAAGCTGTACTGGTTTTACAACAATCAGAGGTATAAATATGCCGCTTTTCTGAAGTAAATCATAGTTTGAGATAGCTATTCTACAAACACTATTCCACCATGAAATACATCGTACGTATTAATTTATTATATTTTTATAAAATAGCTTTAATCACTTTTAATTAACTAGATGCGAGTAATTTAAAGGTGTTTCTTACCTGGAGTTTTACTCGAAAAAGTGTGAAAAGTTTCTTATTAGTAGAAGTTGCAGTTCAGAAATCGCCCATGTTTAGAGAAATCTTAGGAGAAAATCGTTTCCTTTTGCAAATATAAACTAGTTAATAACTATTCTTTTCATTGCTCATTAGTCACGTTGGTATATATTTGATATTTATGTGCAGGTAATCTTCGTTTTGTGCTTTGTGGCGCTGGCCGCTGCCAACCCACAGCTTCTCACGTGGCCCGGCATCGTGGCTCCTCTGGGCTCTAGAGTGAGTTGATAGATTTGATATTCATGTAATACTAAGAAAAATCTGGTTTAATGTATAGCATCCATTAAACTAAAAAAAAAAAACATCATAATCAATCTTCTTAGATGGCTGACACTGAATGTACTGCTCTTCCATACATCTCTTTTAGTGATATCTGAATTAATTTATCTAAATATGTCATAATCGTATATATTGGTAAACTACCTCATCTCTAACTACTGTATTTAAGTGGCCACTGACGTTTTTATTGATCTATATTTTATGTTCTATATTCATATGTTTTACAGACCATTGTTGCCGGTCCTACTGTGGTCAATGATGGACTTTGGGGTGGCCGCGTCCTTTCTCCCGGAGTTATTGCTGCAGGATTGGTGTAAACAGACGACAAGCAGCCCGACAGAAGAACAATGAGCAATCGATTCCTACATATTATGAAATAAAATAAAGACCTTTGAGTAAAAAATATATTTTTATTTTATAATGTTTATAAATGCATATACAATTTTTATAGAAGAATAAAGATTATTAAAATAAAAATAACTTTGAAATATATCCTAATACAATTAAAGAAGGGATTTAATGATATTCCATATGTGTCTAAATAATTTAGATTAGTTTGATAAATGACGCATATGAAGTACCGAATTTAATTTATATGAAGTCAAATGCCATACTTAATAGGCAGGTATCGTAGTGACGAAACAAACATACATAGCGAACAATTTTGAACAATCGATATTCGGTTTAAATAACTAACAAACTCAACTAAAATTATCATTTTATTATTCACTAATTTAGAGGACAATGCTAATATTGATTATAGTGTAGAGAATTTAGCGATGACAGAAATAATAGCGAAATCCAATTCGATTACGTACGGCTGTAGTAATAAACATTTATTTACTCTCATTATTTGTTATAGTCATTATAAATTTGAGAATACAGTGTTTTTTTTATGTCATAAACTATAACTATAAATCTATCGATTCCAACTTCTTTAAGAATAAAAATCGAAAATCGATAAGATTCATGACTGATTTTACATAACCCATCCCTACTAAATTTGAAATGAATTGTCAAACTAATCTAAATTATTTAGACACACTGTAATGTACAATCGCGGAATTTCGCGGTGTTGCACTTATTGAAAAATAGCCTTGTACGATGACATTGTTGATGAAAATTATTATTGGATTCTAGATGTTACAATAATAAGTATAATCAAACATTTTATGATTGTTTCCATAAATATAATTTATAATGCTATGTAATACTTTTGTTTTAATCGGGCCACGAGTATGAATACAGACAATTAAAATGCAGTCGAATTTCATTTAATCTTTTTACCAACGGATATGACAAAAGTTTTTTTTTAATTACATAAAACATTATTTCAAGAAATAAATAAGCTTGGAAAACTCAATATTACTTGTTTATTTTTCATTTCGGATATAAAATTGCACATTTATCAGATTTTAATCGCTTTAAAATACTTTTTCTTAAAGTAACCAGAAACTAGGAGAGCTTACTTGGCTTTTAAATAAAGCCATCAATTTATGACAATAAGTTTCTAGCAGTGGCTTATGGCAAAGGTCAACAGGACGAAGTTTCGTATGAAGTAATTATTTATCTATTTGGCAATAAGTGATACAGAATTTACAATTTATATAATACTAGCTTTCGCCCACGACTCCGTCCGTGTGGAATTAAAACAAATTGTGTACCCTATGTGTTCTTCCAGACTATCCTCTACGTCTATGCCAAATTTCATCGAGATCTGTTCAGCCGTTTAGGCTACAAACTCTAACAAACATCCATCTAAACTTTCGCATTTATAATATTAGTAAGAAGTAAGATTGCAATAGCAGTCTCTTATTGTTGACTAGCTATTATAGAAACACACTCAAACACAAACAAAGATTTTAATCCAGATATAAACCTATAGTTAATACTTAAATCCGCTTTTTCTGTTAAAACTTCGTATTATAATCTGCTAAATAAGTTACTTTGTCGTCATGTCTGTTGTTATGAGGTATAATGAATCGCATTTAACAAGAAGGACGTTAGTAATGAGCGTGGGTCTAGAAAGAGATAGATGGATTGTGTGAAAGGTGACATGATCAAGAAGGGAGTGATGATTGAGATGACGGATGATTGAGTTAGAGGACGAAAACCCGGTGCGCCGTTAGTTTTCCTTAAACGAGGTTTAGGGTAAGCTCCATCTGTGCTCGGCCACTTCAAGCTCAATGACGCTGTAATGCGCATTCAACGCAATGATAACTGAATAAAAAAACTTTGATATACTTGCTTAACATTTTACTTATAGAGACATATCAAACACGAACCTTTCAAAAACATTAACTGGTTGTGTTAAGCGTTAGTTTCCACTGACTTAACACCACTATACATGCTAATTTATGTATTTTTTCAAATAGAATTAGGAGGATGAAAATTTTACTGCCAACTCTACCTTAAGCAATTAACTTGGAGTAAGGTGTTTTTAATTTATTTTTAGTACTTTCGACTGCTCCTCCTTAGTTACGCTCCATCTTTTCTTAAGCTTTTTTAAGCGAACACACGCGTAAAATATATGAAAGTGTGAAACGACCTTTATAATAAATTAATCAATACTATTATAATAAAGCGTAATCACACTCTTCTTTGTTGCCTAAGATGTCAGCAATTACAGCATATTTTTGAATAATTCTTTTTTTAATAAAAAGCCCTACACTTACGTCATGCTTTAGGCTATATACTTTCACGCCATTAAACTTAGGGGGTAAATATTTTGGATAAAAACCCTAATGTGGGAAAGAGACCATAAGTTGCTGCCAACATCAAGGAAGCAAGGTTGCCATGCTTTGTCATCATGTCGTGTCATTTTGACATTGTAATTGATAATTTGACACATGTAAACAATAAAATAAAATTTTTATATTTACATGCGGATGAAGCCGCATGGGAACAGCAAGTATGGTAATAAATTATACAATACTAGTACAGTTTCTTGCTTGTTACAATGTAGAAGATTATAAACATTTCCTTTTCTAACGCCTACTGCATTTTAAAAAAGTTGTTGACCTTAAATGGATGTAATTTTATTACAGTACCAGTTTTATAACAATTAATTCTAATCATCAACCAATATAAATACTCTAGTTTTCTCAAGTAAACCATAGTCTACGCTAGGCTGCATTACCGATCAAACCGGTCAAACCATAAAACCAACAATGAAATACCTCGTACGTATCACTTCATCATCATAAGCTCATTATACGTCCCTACCCAGGGGCTCGTAGCTCACCCTAAGTTAGGTTGACTAGGCCATAGTCAACCACGCTGGCCCATTGCGGGTTGGTTGACTTCACACATATCTTTGTATATATGCATACGTATCAATTCTCATGGAAAAAATGTCGAAAACTCATACGAGCTGTAAATTGGTTTTTAAGTCTCCATGTGAAAGAATTAACTCCACACTAGTATATCCCGATAACAAGTCATCACAGTTGAATTTGATTCAATTCGAAATCATTGTAAATAAAAATAACTATACTTAAGTAATAGGTGTCAATATAAATAGTATATACCCTAAGAAGTAAAATAATAACATAATTATAAGTAACTACACTAATACTGTAATGTTGTAGATCGTTTTCGTTTTGTGCCTGGTCGCTCTGGCATCTGCCAACTCTCAACTCCTCACCTGGCCTGGCATTGTAGCTCCACTCGGATCAAGGGTAAGAAATTAATCTTATAAACAACATTACATCAAGGATAATATCACAATGATTTTGTTTATACATCAACTAGCTTACGCCCGCGACTCCCCGTGAAACTAAAAAAAAAAAACAAAAGTACCAGACTATGGTCTACATCTATGCCTAATTTGATCGAGATACGTTTACCCGTTTAGGCTACAAACTCTAACAAACAACCATCCAAGCATCTAAATTTTCGCATTTATATTATTGTATATATACTCGTATAAGAAGTATGATTAATATGAAGTCAGAAGTAAGGTTAGTAAGATTTTATATTTATCCTTTTATATTTTGTCTTTTCCGCAGACCGTTGTAGCCGGCCCGACTGTTGTCAACGGAGGTCTCTTCAATGACCGCATCGTATCTCCCGGATACATCTCTACTGGATTCATATAGAAACATACTTCACGTGTCATTCACCCGACCTTAATAGCAATCGTGTTCCACAATATGTCAGAAATAAAATTGTGTAAATAAATAAATACATTTTGGCAAATATCTTCTATATTTTATTTGATAAAAACCTTTTATTAAAAAGCTGTTGTTTGATTAATGTTCTATGGGAAGAATTATTAAGAACATACATAAAACAATTAGGGTTAAAATTCAAATGTAATTCAAAAGCAAATACAATTATGTGAATTATACTTACTTATAGTAAAATTGGACAAAATGATGGTGCTATTCGAATTAACAAACTTATATACACTATCTATACTATTATAATAAAACGTAAACACACACTTAAAAACCCTAATGTGGAAAAGAGACCATACGTTGCTGCCAACATCAAGCAAGCAAGGTTGTCATCATGTCATGTCATTTTGAAATTTGTAATTGATAATTTGACAAATGTAAACAATAAAATAATATGTTTATAATTTCATGCGAATAAGTAGCACGGAAATAGCTAGTATATAATAACAATATACAATTCTGATTACTACAACTACTAGAACTTTTTTGACGAAGTAATTAACGAACTATAGTCTATGTAACAACTTGAATTACACCTGAATAAAATATATTATTATCTATATTTTTTAAAGAGATGACATGTTTTGTACAATAGCAACGGTAGTGGAAACGCACCGTAAAATTCTTCTATTCTCAACCTAGAAATTGTTCAAATACGCGGTTTCAAAATCACTGGATATTACTATTGTTTGTGAACCCATACGGAGAGTTACCGTAGGGATCTTAGAACATGTATTATTAAAAGGCTTTCATGAATCAACGGGTTTATAACGATAATTAATCAGAACTTTTTCGTAACGTCGAGAAGTTATTCTGAGAAGCAGGCATAAAGTACACAAACAAATCTCATACAAAATTTGTCGATGACGTTACGAATACTTATGTACGTTTTCGAAATTATCAGGCAACTGTATGCTTACTTTGCCGTTGATCAGCATATTAGACAAGAAAGAATTTCCCAATCGGCAAGCTTATTTTTATAATGACAATAATGTGTAGCGTGAACACTTGCTACTGACCTTATAAATGTACGTAATACGACGAGTAAATGCCTACTACCGTATAGTGGTGCTTGTACTATATTAATATATGCAAAAAAAAAAGACATAAAGATTTGGTGTATAGAAAACTCGAGGCGGTATCTTTGAACAGTTATTAGAGTACTCTGTGGCTAATTAATCAATAAAAATCTACTTATTCTTCTATTTATTGATGACACAAAAGTGTGAAGGAGTACACTGGTAGAGATAGGCCTAGGAAGAGATGGATAGTTTTCATGATACTGATTGTTCAAGAAGCGAGCGAAGACTAAGGATAGAGGAGGAAACTTGTTATGCCCTGACAATACGGGAATATGATGGGGATGGGGAGATAATGATGTTGATACTAATTAAACCACAGCTAAACTTTTTTTTTAATATTAGTTTCACACCCCTCGGGAATCCTCCAACGTAGTAAGCGTTACGTGGCTAGATAGTTTTTAAGAATGTTTGAAAATTATATCAGAGTTAAAATTTGTACAATATTAATAGAAATCTCCTTTATTAATAACAAGCTTTTGCCTGCGACGCCGTCCGCGCGGAAAACATAAACACATAGCCTGTGTTCTTCCAAACTATGTTCTACAAATGTGTGAAATTTTATTGAGATTTATTGAGCATTTCGGAGATTTATTTATATTACAAGGTGGCAAATGTGTCGCCACTTGAATTCGCCTAAAAGGCGATAAGTACCTTCTAACAAACATTAATCCATCGATTTACCCAAACTTTCACATTTGTAATAATGGTAAGTTACCGTGCCTTATCAATTATGACCATAATATAAACTAGAAAATCACATGTGTACAGTCTTGTTTTTTAATTACCATAATGTGAATAGAAATAGTGTATAGAACAACTATTTTAATTAATAATTAGAACAGGTATGACATTGTAAAGGGTGGAATTGTACAAGTTTTAACAATTAGGTTGCTCGAACGCTATATATTGTGAACTCTTCCTTGAAGTAACATAGTTCAACAAGCTACACCAATTGACTCACTTGGAAATTACTAAAACCTTTACAATGAAATTCGTAGTGAGTATTAACGTCACTATTAGTTTGTTAAATTCGTCAATCTATTATTTCACTAGACAATGACGATGAATTTTAGAAGTTATGTCAAACTTAAGTAACCATCATTTCTTTTCTAAATATCTCTCATATACTCCTTCGTATATTATTGGAAGTTTTAGTCAGTAACACTGGAGAGCCGATCATAATTTTAAAATTAACAATTGTTTGTTGTAATATAATTTTTCCAAGCTCAATTGATATTATTAAAAAATTATTCTAGGTGGTTTTCGTAATGTGCCTGATCGCGATATCGGCTGCGGCCCCCCAGTTGATCTACCCCTTCAACGGCCTTGATAATCTGGCTTCTCAGGTAATTATAATTACAGAAAGGAGAAATAAGCAATTTTTTCTTAATTATTTAATAACTTAAAATAACCTCTTTCTATTCCAGACTGTGGTTGCTGGGCCGACTGTTGTCAACCGAGGCCTTGCAGGTTTCGGCGCAGGACTGGTGGCGCCCGGATTCGCGGACTTTTTATGCGATAACTGTTAAATATTTGATCCATTTGTATCATTGTAAATTTTCATCGTGTTCTTTCATCATTAATACTTGAATTTCATTTGTATTTTTTTCTAAATAAACGTTTTTGCGCAAATATGTTTTTTATTTATAATTTATAACAGTGTGTGTACATTTTTAAATGTTCTTTATACTAGGTTTGATGCCAGATGTATTTGATAAGGGCAGTTATTATAGCGTTCATAAAGATTACTTACGTCCAGTAGCGAACGACTCTGCCACATACTGACCTCGAATAATGTTCAAGAAATCCAGAGCAATACATAAATGGCTTCCTTAAGCTTTTGCTATCTTCTAACTAGAAAAAAACTTCCACGGATAGATGCTATTCTGTATTACATAAACGAATAGTTATACTGAATAAAAATTAAACTAAGATGTACCTAGAAATAAAAAAAGTTAAAAGTAATACACGCCCACATTTTAATAAAGCTTAATAATGGAATGTTTAGAGCAATTACATAAACTACATTATAAATAAACAAAGGAATTGTCGTAAGTGGTAGGCTTTAACATTATTATAATTTATTTGTAGATTACTTCATTTAATTTAAATTGCAAAATGCATGCATACTTGAACTGATATGTGTATTATTTAGATAGAAGTTGTAACAAAGCATATCTTAAATAATTAATAACAGTAATCAACATCTGTTCAACTAATTAAAATTAAATATATATGTACAGTCAGCTACATAAATATGTACACATTTACGTAACTCTAGAAACCTGTAAATGGTTTCAGTTTTAAAGATGTTTATGGACTATTTCACTAATAGCAAAAAGCTTCCGACTAGCGAATCATACAGACGGATTTGAGCATCAAAATTTTTAAAACTGAATGCGCAAAAAAGATTCTGAAATTTCGTATATGTATTCATATGTATGCAGCTGACTGTATATGTAAAATGAAGCAATTAAGAGGTATCAGGTTAGCTTGGACAATATCAACGTGAACGAGCATTCTATCAATGTTGCAGACTACAACTAGTTCAGTAAAATCTACTTTGAAATAAGTGCCGTCCATATAAATTACGTTCTAGGTCTTAGCATTTGCTTTGTAGCGCTGACATCTTTCTTTATACGTAGACCAGACACTGGCGGTCGGCTAACAACGTTAAAAGATATCCATACCTAACTTGTAGAGAAGACAGCTCTATTTTCGAATGCCTATAAGAATAACAATAAACGAATTATTTTCCTAAGTTCGTTGTTATTACATTTCTTTTTAAAATACTTAAATGTAAGAGCAATGGCCACCTTAATATTTGCACAAAAATATTACGCACAACATAGAGGAGGAATTTTCTAGCAATATAGTAGTTATAATATATACAAAAAAACACAATTTATTTGTAATAAGCAATCCGCCCAGCTTGCACTACGGTGTCAAAAATGTCTTTTCTGTCTCATATCTTTTCTGGCATATACGTAGACTATTGTCTTTGACTTTGTTACTCAGTGATAATGTTACTTTCTAATGACGCAAGGATATTTAAAATCAATTCAGTAGTTTTGAAGCCTATTCAATGAAAACACAAAAAGAATCAAATCTTTCATATTTATAAAGTTAAGATTACATGTTCTAAAGGAATATAATTTACGGTCAGAAAATAAGGTGCAAATGTTTAAAACAAGCTCTGATCGAAGTTGATCTAATAATTTATTATTGTTTACCATATCTGGCGGTGCTAAGTTGTATGTCGGTAGCATGTTTTTTCTCTTTCAACAAACAAGTATTTACATTAAATATTCAGATTGTTAGATATGACCTTAGGAGGTCCTAGGCTGAGGATCAGGTACTCTAATGTATTAGTAGACGACCTTCCGAGCTAGTATATATGCAGCTGTCAGCTGTAGGGCGGCAGAGTTTGCACTCAGAAGGCCTACGAGCAGTTCTAGTGAGATCTACCCTTATCTACATCATCAAAATGAAATTCGCTGTACGTATACAAATATTTTACATAATTTTTAAATATTTCTATAGATAAATTTTGTCATTGTTAAAAAATGTTCGTAATTTCCTCTAAAGAAATCTGCTTTTAAAGGATCGCAATTATAGACGTTTCTTTTGATTTGGCACGTCAAGGACAAGAGTAATATCCCAATGTGCCGATTTAAACGCTGCATACTATACCTATCTTTGTTTCCTAAAGTGGTTAGTTTGTAATCTGGCGTTTTTAACAGTTATTTGTTTTTTTCAGATCTTCTTCGTGCTTTGCTTCGTGGCGTTCGCGGCTGCCGCCCCTCAGCTGCTCACCTGGCCTGGCCTTGTGGCCCCATTAGCCCCTCTTGCCCCTAGGGTAATTTGTTAAAATATTATCTATGATATATTTGATTCATAAAAAGTTTGACAACTCTGAATAGGGTTTTTAAGAACGTTGTTAGTAAAGATGATTTGACTTTCTCTTACAGACTGTGGTGGCTGGCCCGACTGTCGTGAACGGTCTGGGTTGGGGCGGTCGCTTCATAGCTCCTGGAGTCGTCGGCGCCACTGTCATATAATTTTGCTCAATACAGACGGATCAACCTTACAATAAACAAACGCACACACATTCGATGGTTATAAAAAAAATTGTAAAATGAATATTTTTTATAAAAAAAACAACACTTTCATTAAATCCCTAATATGCTCTAAAGTTAATCAGTACTAAAATCTTAAAAAGTATTCTATAATAGTGTTTTATATGGCTAGAATTTTCTACATGCAAATTCGTGCCTATCAATCATGTCTTTGTTCAATCCTTTAGATATATTAATATTAATTTAATTAACTTTTAGATTAAAGTTTAAAAATTTATTTTGATTTACATGTATTTTTAATAACTTATTAGTTATTAAAAATACATGTTATCTATTGATAAGAATTATAATAGTTGAAGAAAGTCAAATATTGACTCATCGTAAAGTCGTCATCGAACTTTTGCAAGTCGAATTTAATCTACATAAACATTTCACTGACATAATATCAGGTGAATTTTAAAGCAAAATAAGTCGTTACACAAGATTCTTATGTCATTCTTACGTGGTTGGGAAGGAATCTTTCGGAATATTTTTATAAGCGGAACGTCTTTTGGGTGTGAAACGATATTCAGATATATTATAAATCGGAAAGCGAACTTTTTATGAATGAATATTAATACATATGATAATAGACTTCCGCTCTAGATTCTAGCACTATATGACTTATCGAATCGTTAATAAGTTATTGTTAAAACTACAATACTTAAACATGATGAATCTTAGTAATGCTGGGTATAGGCCTTCTATAATATGCGGACTTCCTCTATCTCATTCAGCACATTCCCTAATTAGTATCCAGTGGGTTTTCACTGACGTCGAATCCGTATACTTTTACCTATCTTTATTTTTTAACGGGTAAGATATAGACGACAGTATGTTTACTTATAGTAGGCCAGCAGTGGAAATTTACCGTAACAAGTAATTTACAATCACCGTCGTACGTATAAACTTAAAAAAGTGTCTAATTAACAAAATTGCGCACACGCATTAGCGGATTTCGTTAACTAGAGCGTTTATAATAATATAAAATATTTAAGTCTCGTGATGTAAACAAGTGCAGGCATAACATTGCAACGGTAAGAGACAGTAAAAGTGTCGGCGAAGGCGATAAAGTAGTCATTTAACAGATTATTACGCGATACGAGGGTTCCGTCTGTATTTATCTTTAAAATGTTTTAATCTTAAAAATGTTCATATGTCATGCATAAACATTAACAGAAATAATCCCGGCAGTTTTTAATAAAGGCTTTTAGTTAACGCAATAAAGGGTTTTTCATTTTTTAAAAACAATAATTAATTAATGAGAGAGAAGCAATGTAGTACATGTGTATGATGTTATGAATTTGTATTTTTGTATGTATAATTACAACTTATGGGTCGATTAATATAATTCTATCTCCATTCAAAGCTACACTGTCATAGAGTGACATGGGCTATATTTATTATTTTGTAATTCCTCGCGGACGAAGCCGCGAAATAAAGTTAGTCATACATACATAAAACACGGATGTAACTTGTAAAAAAAAATCACATTAGTTTGGATATATTAAGATAATCCTATTAGAAATGGGTTATTTACTTAATAGCTTTGTGTCAAAAGATTGGTAGAGTTGTCAATATTAAAACATGTTAAACTAAAAAGTGTTTAATATCTTGAGGATCTCTATAAGTGATTAAAAGAATCACGACTACTGAAAAAATAACAATATAAAGTACGCTCACTTTACAACTTCAAGTTATTGTTATTATAATAAAGAGTTCCTGAGCGAAAACCTTAAGTAACTGCGGAGCGTACTTTGAGAATGACTTATTCAAGTATAATATAAAAATTAATAATATTAAAAAAATCTAACAGTTGCTCATGCCTTTTCGAGTACACAATAACAATTACTCAAGTGGGTCTTCACTTGTATTTATATATTCTTTGCGTATAGACTAAGTTTTTTTCTTAAATAAAAATAAAAGACCTATTCCTTTGAGACAAGTTTCAAAGTACAAAAATTTAATAAGTATAGTAAACATTACCTTTAGCATTGCAATTAAAAACAAGGATGACCTAAACGTTCCTAACACGATTGGGACATTGTCCTGAAAAATTGGCCGAGTTTGTTGAAATGACGTAAGAAGGCTTACCACGGAAACTCAGAAGATGAGTGCTTCATCGATTTGTTCCAATTTGTTTATTAAATAAACATTACGGTTGAACAACTAGATAGTGAGTTCGTAAGGGAAAGGTAATCGCTCGAGTGAATGTCGAAAGTGTCCGCGAGTGTGATATCATTATTTAATTCATTGAGATCGAGAGCGTCAACCTCCAATACAAACATCTCAGGTGTAGTCATATTACATGATTTCTTTCGCGTATCTTTCCTCCATTAGAACAAAAAATATGACGTTTAACGAGTATTTACACAGAACTTTGCAGTGTTACAAAATATATTAAGTTTTTTTATAACATAAGGCGGTAAACGAGCAACCAGCCACCTGAATCCGCCAAAATGGCGAAGCGACCGCTGCCTATAGACATTCGCAATTGCAGATGCGTTACCTACCCTTATCCGACGGAGGAGGAGACGCACATAAAGAGGACATTTCCCCTTCCTATGCATTTCTTACACCGTCAAATCCACTTCCTCTTCCTATCCTGCCCTTATAAGAAAAGGATGGTAAAGAGAAAGGGACTTAAATTAGGCCTCCGGTTTTACGAAAGTTTTACGAACTATAATTTATCTATATGGTTATTTAATAAAAACTGTTTTGGGATAAGATTGCAAGAGTTGAACGAAATGTATGCGTATAACGGTTTACTTGGCGCAAAAAATCTGAGCATTGAAACGGCATTTGAACGTGACGATCGAGTTTTTATTTAAATATTGTAACCGTCAGATACCGTTATGTTAATTAACGCACGTATCACTAAGCTTGTAAAAATGCTAATATATCTAATGGATAAAATGTATTAAACAAAAACTACTGTAGTTAAAAATAATAAAGAAAATATTCGGAATGGATTGCTTACTATAAAGGCTTAAGGACCCTTATTAGAATATTTAATTAAAAAAATTACAAAATACAAAGAAAAAGTAGTTAAACCTTTTTCAGGCTGTAAAAAAATAGAGAGAATAATTCAAGCGATTATAATATAATTTCATACTTAAAATACATAGTTTCTGTCGTAAATTTACTTCACTCTTAGTCCGTATTTTGATAACACATACAACAATGTAAATAATTGTTTTCTACCATGTTATTATGTCTATCTAATTACCTGCAGTACTATATCATTTACTTAAGGCCGTAATTAACAAACTATGTAAAATGTGCGAGTTATTTTACTTCTTGCCTTGTATAGATAACATTTTTATGCATCAACAATAGAATACTCTATATTACTAGACTAGAAATAGTAAATAATATTTCATAAATCAAGCTCACAACTAGTAGAATGTCATTTGTACTGTTATCGACATTGTCTTCATATCTCGTATTACTTTTAAATTAAATTTTGATCATAATAGTTAGGTTATAAATATTATTAAAAATATATAAATGTGCTTTAATTAGAGGTTTTTATCTGTTGTTATTGACACCTTAATTACCAACTAACTTAGCGTAATAAGTACTACATACAACTAGTACCAGTAGTACTTCCATGTGATTATAAGAAAATGTCAAGCTAATCACTTGGTTCGATTCTTTGACAAAAAAACTAGTTTCCAGCGTACTTCTTTTGTTATATTAGACTTTCTTTTGTTTTAAGTTCGGAATATAATTTTCTACGAGTACACCGTAATAAGAGGCTCATAAATTTGAATAAAACAAAGTAGCTGTACTTTTATTTAAGAGATAAATCAAAACATAACTAATCATTCTTTGGACAAGATAGAAGTTAACAATGCAAATCATAAACGTGAGAATGTTGATGAAATTTTAATGTTTTCTGCAGTAACGCAGTTGCGAATTTTACATTACCGTCTTAAATGACCTGAACCGATTGTGAGACTCACGCGACGTCGAAAGTTGGCCGGCGGTAAATATGTCTAATAAACCGATTGAGAACCAGTTCCCCTGATCAGCCGCTTATTTATTTATTTATTTAAATTAGGCTTATCAACATAATTACATGACATTCATTGATTTTGTAGTAATCCAAACACACATGGCATCATGTAACTACAATTACAGACAAACACATCTTGCTTCAAATACTTAACATGCATAAACAATGATT